TGATTGAATCTTGATTGTGATAAGATCTAGGATCTACAATGCCACTTGATCTAAAGAACAAAACGTTCGACGTTCAATGTGTACTACTAGTCATGACCTATGTATGCGAAACCTGGACACTTAAAACGGACATTATAAGGAAACTGCAAGTCGCACAACGCTCAAGTGAACGAAATATGCTGGGAATAATCAAGAAAGACCGTAAAAGAGTAGAGTGGATACGACAAAAGATCCAGGTAATAGTATAGATGCAATCCACAGAATCAAATCTCTCAAGTGGCTGGCAATGGGCAGGACACCTGGCAAGAAGGATGAACAACAGATGGACCACAAAAATTACAGCATGATACCCACTAGAAGAAGACCAAACCTTCGATGGGACCGAAATATTAGGAAATTAATAGGGGTAACTTGTGCCCGCATAGCCAACACTAGACAACAATGGGCCCAACTACAAAGAGAGTATCTAAATATGTGAGGGAGGCTACACCATAATTGAAAATGGTTGAATAAGCTGCTGAATGAGCTGAAATGATTGATTATTATGATGAGAACTAAGTAGACAATGATTTAAGTTATATGCATAATATGACGTAGGCATATAGCAATTTTAGGAAAATGGTCATTTGCCTAGGCATTAGCTAAGTGCCGCGGCAAATAGCAAAATGATAACAAAACATTTATATTTTGCTATCTGCCTAGGTATTTTCTATTTGGCGAGTAAAAAAAAATTATAACTACTACTGGGTAAATGAATTTGTAGTATAGTATGACTTTTTTTGAAACTTTAGTTTCGGAGATATAAATTTAATCGGACCTTTTAAAAAAAATATTTTTTTTCAGAAACTATTTCGGACAGAGTTTACCAAAAATGTTTTTAATAACTACTACTGAGTAAATGAATTTGTAGTATAGTATGACTTTTTTTGAAACTTTAGTTTCGGAGATATTTTATTATCTACACCAGTCATTTGACCAATGCCATCATAACCACCTATCCTGCATTGATTTTGGACTGTTCTTTTGTTAAGGAACATTTAAAAAACCTAATAATTAATTCTCTGCTGGTTATGTTTTTTGTAATTATCTTTTAGTACAATATGATGCTTTGGAATCATATTCTTCGATGCCCAAGCTATACAGGTATCAAAAGCTGATACTAGTTCTCCATATTTAATTATTCGACAAAATACCGGGTGCATCTCAAAAGTCGCTCACCCCTTCAAATTTTTTATTTCTTAAGATAAAAACGAGATTTGGTATGTTAGTATATGCCATAAATTAGGATTAATTGACGTATTCAATTGTTTTCTGTCACTTTCTGTTTCACCGGAAATGACTACAACTTTTGAGTTTTAAATGACACTCTGGTATTTTTTACTTTAGTCGATAGAAAATGACACTCTGTATAGAATGTCATATCATATGTCAATTTTTGACATTTTCGCATATGGCTTATTTGAAATGGTAACATACGGTTCATTACGACAATTTGACTCGAAATGCCAAGTGTGTGGTACCAAATTATTCTTAAAAAATGTGATTTGGGCATCATTTAACCGGCTAGGACAAGGCACTAAAAACATTAGACGATCAAATCTATTTTTCCAAAGATTTCATCGTCTAATGTTTTTATTTGGCAACTTTTGATTTTTAAATAGCATCCTTGGTATTTTTTTACGTTATTCGATAGAAAATTACATTATTTTTCCAAATATTTGATTGTCTAATGTTTTTAGTGTCTTGTCCTGGCCGGTTAAAAGATGCCCAAATTGCATTTTTTACGAATAATTTGGCCCCTTGATTAAAAATTAGTATTTTTACAACAGCCATGGCACTCTAGATTGAAATTTAAAATACTATTTTCTTAAGCGAAAATGTAAAAAGTTGACATATGATATGTCATTTGATTCATAGTGTCATTTTCTATCGAATAAAGTAAAAAAAAATACCGAGGATGCTATTTAAAAATCAAAAGTTGTAGTCATTTCCGGTGAAATAGGAAGGGACCGAAAAGAACTGAATACGTCGATTAATTCTAATTTGTGTCATATACTAGCATACCAAATCTCGTTTTCTATCTAAAAAAAAGTTATAGGTGTGAGCTACTTTTGAGACGCACCCTGTATAGATCCACAGGCGGGTGAAAAAGTACTGGATGTTTTTCCAAAAAAGCTTTTAAACATATTAAATCCTTATAATAAATGCCTTATTTTATGTCCAAGTATCCAAAAATGAAATTATATACCGGGTGTGTGTTCCATAAGAAAAAATATAACTTTGATATGGATCTTAGTTCTGACACACCCTGTACATTTGAAAATAATTTTGAATTATTCACCTTTCCGTTTTTGTATAATTAACCGAGGCGACCGAGGCGCGCCGCCCTGTATAACCGAGGATTTACCTGAAAAATATTACCATTCGCATCAAGTAGCGTAACATACTTGAAAGAATCATTTTCTTTCGCTAACATTTCCACCGTTCGAACATTTTCCACTTGTTTTCCACCTGTATGTTTCTAATACGTTTACATTGCAAAGTTTTCAATCAATTTCAAAAAAAAAATTCTTTGAACTACAGAAGATTCGCTGAACTCATTCGTCGTGCCCTCCAGTCGCTGTGAATGCATGTCCTGAGAAAGATTTTCTTCTAAATGCGATCGAATGGTAACATTATGATAGACGATGTTTTATGGTGTGTCATCGACTTAACAGGTGTAATGATCGGCGATGACACAATCTACATAATATATAAAATGCTAATGTTTATCTGTGTCGTCTCTACTGAAGTATCGACTTGCTCTAGAAAGTTGCTTTTTCTACTAAAATATAGCTAATTGGCTCTTCTAAAAACTGTCGTCGCCGGATTTTTTGTTTTTCATTTAATTAAAAAAATATAAACAGTCGTGGCAGATGCGCCAGGCTTCAACTAGTTTGATATAAATGTTTTAAGTATCTACAGATCTAATATGCATTTAAATAAAAAAAAACTAAAAAATTAAAACATGTTATTCATCAATTTGTCTGTATAATACTTTCGTTTTCCTTAAGAATGTTAAATGGAAATAAGATAGAAATACCGTTGGCTCGTATTTCAGTAATCTGAAGACCTTGAGAAGTTGGTCAGACCGCATATTTTCCACAACGCCTTCAAACAAACCACGTTGAATGGAAATTTCTTCAAACGACAATAAACCGCCTATTGAATGCAAAACACACAATATGTAAATATGTTTCAGTAATTTGCAAAATAGTAAACAAGAATGAATATCAAAGACACTAACAAAACAATTTGCAGAAAGCTAATGAGATGCTATAAATGCCTTATTTTATGTCCAAGCTCAGGGTTTCAATAAGTATAATTTCTGTAACTTTTTATGATGTGTATGGTTCTTTGGTTTCCTGCATTTCTGGTTTTACCTGCTGCATTGATTAATATTTTTGGATTATCTAATAATAACTATTTTTTAACAAGAGGATATACAACTGTGTAAAACTATTACACAATTTAATAATTCTATTTAGTACACTTTATCTTCGTGGCAGTTGTTGGTTACTTTAGTTTTAATTCTTAGTCCTTTTATGACTCTCCCTGGTTAGATGGTATCGAAGGCATTGTTAATTGTTTTTTTTTATAAATTCGTTGATGTCGTCTATGTTTATATGATCTTCTTAAATATTATCATATTTTTATTTTTTTTTCAATTGGGTTATTTCTTTTGGAAAAAATATTATATTTTGTGGTACTTTCTGTTGTTAGTTTCTGTGACAGCTTTTTTTGAGTCCTCTTAGCTGTTTTGATGTCTGATTTTCTTCTAGTTTCGTAAGTGTATGTAACTTTTGATTTTTAAATGACAATCTCGGTATTTCTTTACTCCATTTGGAAATGTGAACTCCATTCTGAATAAAATGACATATCATATGTCAACTTTTTTAATTAAAAAAAATCCAATTTAAATTTAAATTTAGGGTGTCAGTTTGATTCGAAATACCCGATTTTTCTAAATATGTTAATGAGCCACCCTCGTTCAATTAGAAAAAAGTGAGTTATGATTAAAAATACTATTTGGGTATCTTTTAACTGGCCAAAACCAGACACGAAAAACATTAGACGATTAAATCTATTTTTTCAAGGCTCCTTGATTAAAAATTAGTGTTTTATATACTAACGTAGCAAACATCGTTTATTTATCTGAAAATAAGAAAGTTATAGGGGGTGAAACTTTTCTGATACGCCCCGTATAATGGAGGAGCGTGTAAGATTTTTAAAAATGTAATAAAAAGTCGCAAAGAAATACGTGAGCGTTTCAGATATTAATAGTGAATGCGCACTACGTGTTTCTGATAATGGCGGGATAATAATCTGCCTATTTGTATGGTGGGGATGGCCATACGAAGGAGTAGAAAATGAGAAAAGAAAAAAAAAATAAAAAGAATATTCAAATGGATGTTAAATGAACCCTATAAAGAAGCTCCTATTCAAAATACTGACCATTCGGACGCTGCCAAAACTCATTGCAGATTTTTTAGAAATATGTAGTTCTCAGCACCCCACTTATTGATAATTTTAGCTACTTCAGCTGGTGAAAATGAGCAGATTATGTTATTCCCGTGGTTCTTGAATGATTTAAAAAAAAATAACCACGCTCGAGAATGTCCAAGTGACGTTTTTTAGCGAACTTTGTGAATCTCTCATTTCATTATGTCACACGCTAAAATCGTCAGATTATCTAGATGCACTTCTATGCCTAGCTATGCATTTCTATCATTTTTTTACTACTCTGTACAGCTCCCTACGCATACGACTCTGTATAAATAATATGTAATGGTTCATGTATGGTGGAGGCACTTAACAGGGTTCAAGGTTAAGGTGCATAATCTAAATAAATTAAATTGACTATTACAATTATTTAAAATTACTAATTTAGAATTGATGCATTACATCTTTATAAAATTATATGCAATGACCGTAAATAATACTAATATTTTAAATTGCAGGATGTTGGTCTCAACAGTCCTTCTTCTTTTGGCCCTTTCAACGTCAGATGTTTTTGGAAATAAACTGAACGTAGCTTATCAATGGAAGACCGTGGAGTTCGAATTCCCATCCTACGAGTCCAAATTAGCTGCCATTTCGTCGAAAAAATTCATTCAAGACAATCATCTTCCGCTAGGTTTGGAGGTTTATGGAAAGAGATTATTTGTAACTTTGCCTAGATGGAAATATGGAACCGCTGCTTCTCTGGCTTACATTGATATGAACGAAGGTATTTTTTAAAGTTATGAAGTGATTTTATAAATTTTGTTTATGGCTACCTATATTATTATTTGTAATTTAGGTTTTAAGTAATGCTTGACATGCATTGCTGCTAGAGCTTAACACCATTATTCCAGAATTCCATATTTAATTTTATTCTACCGATAGTTACAGTGAAGCCTGCAAAAGTAGTCATGAGAATGGCCACAACAGTATTAACTAAAGTATATACAATTGGTAAAAAAACATTATACAATTCACCAATACTATTTAGTAGGCTTTATCTTTGTGGCAGTTGTTCGTTGCGTCCTCTTCTTTATCTTCAACAGGTTGAAGACTTTTAAGACTCTCCCTGGGTAGATGGTATCGGAGGCATTGTTCTTTTTTTATAAATTTGTCACGATCTGCTTAAATATCATGTTGTGTTGAAACAGTAGGTGACCAACAAATCTTTAGAATGGTGGAGAAATTCACTAGGGCAGAGACAGGCAAAAAAGTTCATTGTAGATCATTCGCCAAAATTTACAGCAGACCTGCTACGCAAAAGACGGAAAGACAGTCAAAGCTGTGGTGGGTTTACTAATAGCTGAATAGACTTATAAAGCTGATGGGATTGACCGGCGAAGTGCAAGTTTTATTAATCTGAAGAAGAAAGAACACATTTTATGGCAGGCTTTAAGACATTCTAATAAAGAATACATATATTTGGATACACAGCTCAGGATCTCTACTACAAGAAATCAACAGAAGAATTAAGTTAGCATGGATTACTTATGGAAGAAACTCAATCATATTCAAATCTACAATGCCACTCTATCTAAAGAAGAACATTCCTAGAATGAACATTCGACCAATGTGTACTACCAGTCATGACCTATGCATGCGAAACCTGGATACTTAAAACAGTCATCATAAGGAGAAACTGCAGGTCGCACAATATTCAATGGAACGAAATGTGCTGGGAATAACCAAGAGAGACCGTAAAAGAATAGAGTGGATACGACAAAAGATCAAGGTAATAGATGTCATCCACAGAGTCAAATCCCCCAAATGGTAATGGGCAGGACTCCTGACAAGAAGGACGGACAACAGATGGATCACAAAAATTGCAGCATGATACCCACGAGAAATTAAGAGACCTAGAAAAAGACAACCGAACCTGAGATGGGACCATTATATTAGGAAATTAGCAGCAATGGGCTCAACTACAAAGAGATTATGTGAGGAACGCTACACCATAATTGGAAATGGTTGAATAAGCTGAAAATGATGATGATGCAGCCTGGCAAATGTGAGATTATCCTATCATTGCCCATCTGTAATAGGCAATGATAGGCCATTGATAAAGAGCTTTATGGAATGGTCCATCTCCAAGTTACTAGACTTTTTCAAATGGATAGGACTGGAGAATGTAACCTAAGGATCAGAGAAGAGGACAATATATGTCTAAAGGTCGCAATGGAACAGGCCGAAAGCCACCTCGAAGAATCTAATCTAATCTTTAGTCTTCAGTGATTCCTACCTTGCATATTCTTACTTTATTTGCAGCCAATTAGGTACTTCGTTATTAAGCTATTTGATGCTACTTTGATCCTGTTCTAGTTCCATCTTTTATTATGGCGCCTCCTTGGTATTTTTACATCTTTCGGATACCACTGTGGTGGATACCATAACTTTGGTGCCCAATCCTTGGCCAGTTCATCTCAATATGTGACCTGCCTATTGCCATTTGAGATATGTAATTATGAACATTACATGTGTTGCCTAGATCTTTAGATTAATCCACCTTGTCTTCATGTGGTACCTCTTATCTGGTGTTTTCATATTAATTCTTGTTTTAATAATCAGTAGGGGTAATAGTTTAAATAGTTTTATAGCTGTATGTTATAAGTGCTTGTATTAACGGATCGAAACTTGTTCCTTTAGATGGTGTGATAGAATTCTGGCTGAATGCTTTAAATCCCAAGTTTAGTTTTATCTTATAATAATAATAGCTCCCGTATATAGCGTTTGATGCCTTGGGAGGAGCAAGGTACAGCTTGCCATGCTAGAGCCGTTCGATATACAAGAAAGGTAATGTGGCTAGCACTACGCTTCAACCGCCTATATTATTACCTGTGAATCCCAAGTACTCATTTAAGGCTGAGTCGACCTAGGTACCGAAACTATTTTTATTTTAATAAAAATAGTCGGCTGATGAAATGCCGGGTGTGGGATTCGAACCCACACCTTGAGATTGGTAGACGAGAGCCTGTACCTCTACGCCACCGGGCACCTTAGTTTTATTTTAATTTATTAAAATAGTGACCATATTTGCATCCATTTGTTGGAAGCAGATGCCGAATTAGGCCTATGTCCGAAATAATTAGACATATATGGCGATTATAATTAAATATACCTACCTATATCCACAAAGTTACGCGGAAGAGTTTTGATTGCATTGTTTTCAACTTCTATGCGGAGGGTGTTAATCTTTTGTTGTTATATTATACCAAAAAAAGATTAACCCCTTCCGTAAAGAAGTTATATAAAGACTATTAATAACCACGAAGTTGCACGCATCTGGCAAGTTTAGTATGGACAAATCGCCATATGTCTAATTATTTCGGACATAGGCCAATAAAATTCGGCATCTGCCTCCAACATATTCATCTACTATCTACTTTTAGTGCAATTTATATCATCGCAATAATCTGAATATTTACTAGTTTATTTTTATTTCTGTGGGTAGAGATAACAAATACTATGAAGATTAATGCATACATGCAAGTTTACAGTTTATAATAATATAATAAATTATTATTGAATAAAAACCATTATAATTATTAATTAATTTGTATAAACGATTTACAAATAGTACATTAAAAATGCTATTTTATTAATCGAAAGTGTTGTGTGAAACAACAAAAGATAAATAAAATTTATACTTAACGTCGATAATAACATAGTTGTGTGTATTGGGTTATATTATGCATGGGATAACTACTTTTCCTATTTTTAAAAAAATGACGCAAGCAAATTTAATCAATTTGTATTTAATCTAACACTGGTTTCCTTTAGTTTTGAGGTATCGTGTGATATTTTATTCTGTATGTAAACTTATATAAGGCTTATAACAGATAGTTAATAAAATATAAAAAACAAAATTTTTATTATATTATTTGTGGCATTTGTGGCACAAAAAGGCATAAGATTGCGCATCTTCTTTTATCCTTTAATCAACGGCGGATATACGTCTTAGATTATAGGGTAAGTAATGTAAGGTGTTTAATGACAGTGAAAAAATATGAAAGAAAAGAGATTTTAGATTTAAAAGATTTTAGTCTTTTTGTGGTGTTTGTTGAGGAGACAGCTTCCTGTTAAAAACCCCGTGAAAATCCCAAAATTGTTCTATTTAAATCAAGGAAAATCTCTAATTTTTCTCGGTCGTAACTTCTGAGAAATCTATTCCAGTGTCTTAGACCGTTGCGTTGGAGGATTTCCATTCCAGGTTATGGATCGAGTCTTCCAGGTTCTTGAGTTTTAAGCTGGTTTCCGCTAGGGAAGCATAATGGTTCTGGTCCAGTTAGTGCAATGTTCGCTCCTTTTCTAGCTAGATCTTTTGCTTTTTCATTGCCTTCTATTCTTCTGTGAGATTGAACCCAGAGTAGGAGGACTTTATTGTCTTTGGCTAATTTGTTCAGCCCCTCTAGGCATTATTTGACCAACTTCGAACTGATGGTTATTGAGTTGATCGCTTTTAGTGCTGCTTGACTATCGAATGGCTATTTCCTGTTTCTGATAGTTCCTATCTAAGAAAAGTTGTACGCATCTTTCGATAGAGTAGTTTTCTGCTATCGATAGAAGGATGCTGGGGTAGGTGCTCATTGGTTCTAATTACAAATGAATACAATATTTCATCGTGATTTTTTTCAATATTTATTTCCATTTCAAATCATATAATATAACGACTAAGCTGCGAATTGAAATAAGTAACTTATTAATTATTTATTAATTTATTATAATATACATATATTAATGAAATTGCAATTAATTCTGATAAATATCATAATTAAATTGTTTTAGCTGGTTAGTTACAAAACCACTAATAAACAATATGCATTTTAATATAATATTTTGTTATTTGTTATAGTACTAAATAATTGTTGCTAAATTATGGGAAAATTCAACAAGTGTTACAGTAAAATCACTTCTTTTCAAACTTCGCCCAGGGATGTGGCCTTAACACAGTTCCGAGATACGTATGTGATTAACTTTACGCCAGCTTCTGGTTTATTATGCGTTGTTGTCGTTAATTAAGCATATGAACATTTCGCTGTCGAGATACGTCGCATTCCGCTATATTTTTCTTCTTGTCTTTCGAGTAATATCTAGTTTGACTTTGCTTTTTTAATTAAGAGAATATTTTCATAACTGTGAAGGCCGGATCTAACTACTCACACGGTATTTGTTTCAGACATATACAGGGTTGCCCAGCGTTCCGTAAGTTATTAAGCTCTGTCTACACATAACGCCTGTGGTTTATCCAAGATCATTTTTTTCTTAAAACGCAATATAGCCTAGAGAGCTGATGGGAGTAGAATACTATATCCAGGACTATCAAAAACATTTAGATAATATTAATCAGTCTTAATCATCTGCTGATGATGCTAACATGGTTAGCGAAACGCGCGTCCAGTGTAAAAGTAAAAGTGTTTTGGTGTATTGTGGTGATTTAGTGTTTTTTTTGCTGTGTAACACCAAAGGTTCCAACCCCCAACTGTAAAAATATTAATATAAGTTTTTATTTTTAATGTCAAAAAAATATTGAACGAGTATAACGAGTAAGTAACATGGAAACAAAACATTAAAATTTTCTTTATTTTGTGCGTACAATCGCATTCCAAGCAAAAAAGTCAAAACTGGGTTGTACCTACTTTAGAGTACAAATTAGAGTAAAACAAAGAAATAGAGTAATGATGTAAATCAACACCTAATAATTTTTTTATAATGATTAGTTAATTTATTATATTAATCAAGTATTTTGTAAGATTAAATCTATTAATTATTTTTTTGAAGGAGATTTAAAAAACTTCTTAGGTCTTAATCAAATAGAAGTATGTAACACAGAGTGTTTATTGGTACAAGGCCAGTAAGAAAACTTCTTACGTTGCGTTTCTTCATGTCCTTTTTTATTGTATGTAGGAGTGTCAATAAATTTCTCAATTTCTGACCGGATTAAACTCGATTCTCAATGAATTATATCATGACGGTGTCTATTATCATCTCTTCATCTCTTATAAATGCATATTTTTGCTCTAGCACATCTAAAGCTGTTTGCTTTGTGCAGCCAAAGTATACAAAAAATACCTTAAACTTTGGTACAGCCTCTCAAATAGTGACATTAGGATGTAGGTTCTGTGTACTCTGTTAATTTAATTAAATATAATTTGAACATTGATCGTATTGTGATTTTCTAGTTTTCTTTACAATATATTTTAGGTAATAAAATGTCTTGATACGTTTTCCAGAAGAGAGTCTAATATATTTAAACTTTTTTCTGTTCCAAAATGATTTCGATGAAAAAAATGTTCTTGAACTTCAAAAGAAAATTAGTAGTATTTACTATTCATTTTCGGCATGTTTTAGAAGAAAAGGAACATAAATCCAAAATATTCTTGAAGCCATCATTCAATAATTAACAACATACTAAATTAGCTGTCAGCTTTGTTACTAGTATAAGTAAAATTTACATTGTAAGTAAATTTACAGGTGCCCGGTGGCGTAGAGGTACAGCTCACGTCTACCAATCTCTAGGTTATGGGTTCGGATCCTACAGCCGGCATTTCATCAGCCGACTATTTTTATTAAAATAAAAATAGTTCGAGTACGTAGGTCGACTCACCCTTAAATGGGAGTACTTGGGATTCACAATCCTGAGGTAATAATAGGCGGTTGAAGCGTAGTGCTAGCCACATTGCCTTCCTTGTATACCAAACGGCTCTAGCCTGGCAAGCTATACCTTGCTACCCTAGGCGTTAAACGCTATATACGGGAGCTATTATTATACAGTGTGTTAATTTTAAAACTTCCCACCCTTAATATCTTTCTTGCAGCAGTTAAAAATATGAAAAATCGGAAAAACACGTCAATTTTATTAGTAAGGGGGACACTTTAAAATAATATTTTTGGCTTTTTTCTTTCAACCCCTTAGGAAAGGTAGATGTCACCCTTGCAATCTTAAATAGGAATGGGGGTCAAGTGGCACATCGTTTTAAAGGGTATTTAATTCTCTTTTCAGTGGTATCCTACTTTGTTGCTTTTTGTCCAGATATTTCCGAATAATCGCGTTTCAAAGTTGCAGAAACAATTAAACATGCCTGCATTGAGATTTTGGGTTTCAGGCTAGTGTGTTTACATAAAAATTATTGCAGTAGATGTTCTTGTAGTACAAATGACTAGAAGATTAGGTGATAACAAGGACGTAGCCATTACATTTTTCTAGGGGGTCGAAATTCGAAATATTAATAAACAGAAAACATCATAAACATTAACGTTTCCTTTCTCAAATTCGAATGAGTGGCAACCTCTAATCAGTTTCACAGGAGGATTTGTTAACATTCCAGCAGGACGGTGCTATAGCTCATTATTTTTTTGCGGTCCGACAGTGGTTAAACAAGAGATTTCCGGGTACATGGATTGGCAGAAGGAGACCAATTGAATGGCTTTCGAGATCACTTAGACTTTTGTATTTGTGGGGGGACATCTTAAATCCATTGTTTATAAAACACAATCTACTGACATTGATGATCTTAAATTACAGCAGAATGCCAGTCAATTCCCGGTGAAGTTTTCCGAAATGTTTGGGAGATGTTTGAACCTAATCTTCTAATCATTTGTACTACAGGAGATCCATTGCAATAACTTTTGTGTAAACACTAACCTGAAAACCAAAATCTCAATGCAGGCACGTTTAATTGTTTCTGCAACTTTGAAACGCGATTATTCGGAAACCTCTCGATAAAAAGCAATAAAGTAGGATACCACTGAAAAGAGAATTAAACGCCCTTTAAAACTATGTGCCACTTGACCCCCATTCCCATTTAAGATTGTAAAGGTGATTTTAAGAAAGATGAAACCCCTTCCTAGGGGGTTAAAAGAAAAAGGCTAAAAATATTCATTTAAAACGTCCCCTTAACAAGTAAAATTGAGGTGTCTTTCCAATTTTTTTATATTTACAACAACTGCAAGAAAGATATTAAGGGTGGGAAGTTTTAAAATTGACACACTGTATAACTAAAATTTACAGAGACCTACAATATTTTGATTAACATATATAATATGTTTGATTTGTTTTTTTATAGCACCCAAGGATTCACCTAAGCTGAAACCCTATCCTAACTGGACTGCCCACGCCCTTTATGGTGGTGTACCGGAAATAATATCTCCCTTTAGAATCAGAGCAGATCAGTGCGGTAGATTATGGGTTCTGGATACTGGTATAGAGGTAAGCACTCACTGAATTACATAGAGAGAGAACTCAAAAATATTTGTTAATACAGTTTTTTTATTGCATCTTGCAATGTAACTAGGGTTAGTTGGAAAAATGGTAAACGATTTTAACAAAAATAATTTTAACAAAGTATAGCTTTGAAACTTTGACGTTTGCACTCAAAATTCTTCTCTTTACTTAATAGGTACTTTGATGGTTGAGAAATTTCCAACAGATTCCAAAAAAAACTTGTTTACATTTACTCCGCTGGGGGCAGGACCAGGTTTGAGATGTTTGGCAAACCCATGCTAGACCTATCAGACCTAGGAGACATATCACCCTCGGACATAACGGCCTATGTTAAAAGGCTGGGTCTTGAGGGTGAACTTTAACGCTCTTTGTATATTAAAGAGCTTGTAGAAAGTGAGCCACAATAGGCCCTCGCGGCCGCAATGGAGGGTCCCATGGGACCCACTCTTAGTCAATTCGATACAATACAATACAATACATTTACCCCATAGGAAAATCAAATATTGTCCTATTTTGGGGTAAATGTAAAAATATTTTTTAAATGGGGTAATAATGAACCAAGAACTATACAAGTTTGTTATTAGTTGGGTTATAAGTTTATCAATGTGTTTAAATGTTTACAGTTTTTCCCATGGAGACAAAATAAAACATTTTATTATAAAGACAAATAATTATTTATTACTGTTTCATCAAAAGTGTACACAAAATATTAAGGTTTTTCAAAACCATCTATGTTTTAGGAAATTTTTTTTCTTTATTATTTCTTTTAGTTGTGTTAATTTTTTATGACCTGCCACAACTTTGTTGGTAATTGCTCATGGTCTTAAAAAAATATTATTATAAGGATCAAAAATCTCCAAAAATTAAATGGAACACGCTGTTACATTTTTTTAAGTCTATGCTCACTAGAAATGACTAGAGCAGACTGTTGCTGTTTCATGATTGATCGAAGCTCGCAGCTGCAACTAATTGTTTATACCATTTTTCTGCAATCCATCTTTGGTCAAAAGAAATTATATTTTGTTAAAACGATTTTTTATCTCTTTTTTCGTATACTTTTCTGTTCTGTACTAAATATAGCGCCACTTTTCACTGTAAATAGGTTGAATTATTAAAATATCAAAATTCTATCTGCATAAAAATAATAATACAGTGTAAGTTGGAATATTTGGCGTACAACAGCAAAATAGCACACTAGTTGTCCACAACACATCAAAACATTATTTTATTTTGATGAAGAAACGCGCGTTTGGCGAACCGTTATATGTAGTAGTATACAAAGATATTTAAACTCAACCTAACCTAACCGAGTTTAAATATCTTTGAGTAGTATACCATCAACAAATTATTAAATCTGGTTCATTTGCAACTGATCCTTAATCTCCAGATTGCTACTTATGTTCTTTTATTTCAAAATTATTCAATTCCACATTTCTAATGATTACAAGAATATACACAAGAAGTGTATTAATTATAATCATGTTTTAGTCAGTTAATTTATTTTTTATTGAGTTGTTATAAGATATTAATTATTAGTTATTTCATTCAATTTATACAGTGTGTCAATTTTAAAACTTCCCACCCTTAATAACTTTCTTGCAGTTAAAAATATGAAAAATCGGAAAGACACTTTGAATTAATATTTTTAGCCTTTTCCTTTTAACCCTTCAGGAGGGGTAGATGTTACCCTTACAATTTTAAATGGGAATGGGGGTCAAGTGGCACATCGTTTTAAAGGACGTTTAATTCTCTTTTCAGTGGTATCCTACTTTGTTGCTTTTTGTCCAGAGGTTTCCGAATAATCGCGTTTGAAACTTGCAGAAACAATTAAACATGCCTGCATTGAAATTATAGTTTTCAGGCTAGTGTTTATAAAAAAATATTGCAATGGATCTCCTTGTAGTACAAATAATTAGAAGATTAGGTGGAAACATGGGCGTAGCAATTATAGTTTTTTAGGGGGGTCGAAATACTAACAAACAGAAAACATCAAAAACATTAACGTTTATTTTCTTAAATTCGAATGAGTGGCAACCTCTAATCAGTTATACAGGAGGATTTGTTAACATTCCAGCAGGACGGTGGCTCCACCTTATTACTTTCTTCCGATCCGACAGTGGTTAAACGAGAGATTTCCGGGTACATGGATTGGCAGAAGGGGACCAATTGAATGGCTTCCAAGATCACCGGATTTAACACCCTTAGATTTCTTTCTTTGGGACATCTTAAATCCATTGTTTATAGAACACAACCTACTGATATTGATGATCTTAAAAGGCGAATTACCGCAGAATGCCGGTCAATTCCCGGTGAAGTTTTCCGAAATGTTAGGGAGGAGTTTGAAAACACACTTTATTATTGTTAACAGGAAAATGGACAACATTCTAAACAACTTATAAGATAGGGTGTAAGTGATGTAATGTGATCTTCTAATCTTTTGTACTATAAGGAGATCCATTGCAATCATTTTTGTGTAAACACTAGACTGAAAACCACAATCTCAATGCAGGCATGTTTAATTGTTTCTGGAACTTTGAAACGTGATTATTCGGAAACCACTCGACAAAAAGCAACAAATTAGGATACCACTGAAAAGATAAATAAACGCCCTTTAAGACGATGTGCCACTTGACCCCCATTCCCATTTAAGATTGTAAGGGTGACATCTCCCCTTCCTAGGAGGTTAAAAGAAAAAGGCTAACAATATTAATTTAAAGTGTCCCCCTTACAAATAAAATTGATGTGTCTTTCCAATTTTTCATACTTTTAACTGCAAGAAAGATATTAAGGGTGGGAAGTTTTAAAATTGACACACTGTATGTTTATAGCAATTATTAAATATTTTATGTTGATAATAAATACTGATTTTTATTTTTTTACCTTTATAATTTCTTTCGAATACTAGTTATTTATTTTGTTATTTATGATATTCGTTATTGGTTTTCATGAGGCATAACAATTACAATTGTTTATTAGAAATGATCAAGGTTGGCAATTTTTCAAGTACTTCTGCGGTTTTCTAGTATGTAGTAATGTCGGATCTGATATTTCCAAAACATTTTTTATGTTGAAAAAGTCTTTGGACGATGACAGATAAACTAGTTTTTATGGAAAATTATTATGATAGAATTAGATTGTTAAAAGACTGTGTGCAAAGCCATTTTCACTATATTTTTTTGATATGATGTTCAAGGTCAGAATTTTTTATTATGTTTTTAATTTTTAACAAGTTACATAATGAATTGGACAAGAAAACATACAATGCATTCAAACTTACTTTGTTTACTGTTAAATTAAATTATTATTATTCATTAATATACGTTTCAACGTTAGCTTTTGCCTAATGAATGAAGGGACGAAAAACGGACACCTTAAAATTTAGATGTATTTTAAAGTTTAATATATTTTGTTCTAGTAGGCCGATTTTGATGATTTTTAAGCAATTTGTAGTTAAAATATTTGACTTTTAGTATCTCTCTCTAAATTAAAAATGAAAGTTTCCATCTGTAAATTATACGAGGGAAAACAAAATGTTGATATTTTGGGGAAAGTTTGAAACACCCTATGGAATATGTTTACAAAGCAAGGATTTTAAAAACAATTTTGTCATCTAGACACGTCTTTTCTATATAGTATGTTTTTTTATTCATCTCAATAGCTTTATTTTGTGGAGATATTCGCTTTTGAATAAGACAGTAAGGTGTCATCAACAAGTCTTCATCAACACACTTATAAAATAATGTTCATTGTTTTTGTAATGTAACTGTTATTGAAAAGGCATATTATTATTGTTTATTGACGTTTACTCTAGTAGAGATGGTTTTAAGTTCTGATATATCGGCTGTTGCTGCTTTAATTGATCATGGTAGAGATCAACTTTTGGACTTAAAACTATATCTGCTAGAGTAACTGGCCAACACACAATAATAATATGATTCTTCAAAGTGGTATTACATAAACCATAAATATGTATATGTTTTGTAGGTCTGTTGGCTAGGACGAAAGCAAATGTATGCTGTTAATGAAAATAATAGATACGAAAAAATGTTGTCAAATACTTCAAAAACGTATATCTCCAAAAAAATTAAACGTATTGAGATGAATTAAAAAATAAACTATCGAGAAAAAATACATCTAAATGATAAAATTATTTTTAAATTGCTTGCTTCGTTAACGTACTCCACAGGGTGTTTCAAACTTTCACCAAAATATCAACATTTTGTTTTCGCTCGTATAATTGACAGATAGCAACTTTCATTTTTAATTTAGAAAGATATGCTAATAAGTGAAATAATTTAGCTATCCAAACCTTAAAAAACCATGAAAATTAGTCCACTAGAACACAACATATACAACTTTAAAATACATGAAAATTTTAAGGTGTCCGTTTTTCGTGCCGGTGAGTGTATTTTGTATGCAATGTCTGAATCACATCTGAACAATAGACTTTTAAACATATTTTAGGGACTCCTAGAAACGGAAGAGAAAGTTGGCGACGAAAAATGGTTCAAGAACACAAGTTTATTAGTTTATGATCTGACCAATGATGCTCTTTTAAGAACATACGAAATTCCTGCGGAACAGAAAACAGAAGATTCCTTCTTCGCTAATATTGCAGTAGAGGATGAAGATTGTCATGTGAGTATCTAGCTATAATTAAATTTTGGTCAGTGATAGGTCATTCTAAGTAAGATTGCTTTTAGGATTATAATTCTTCTTCTTCCTCTCAGCCATTACTCGTCCACTGCAGAATGCTGCAGTGGTGCTCTCCACATCCAGTTCTTACCGGCTACGGTTTGGATATCATCAGTCCATCTTTTAGGAGGTCGGCCGACTAGGCGTTTTGCTAAGCGTGGCCTCCAGCAAAGAAGTCTTTTTGCCCATCTTTCCTCGGACTGTCTGGCCAAGTGTCCTGCCCAAGACCATTTAGAGTTAGCTATCCTCTCTACAATGTCCGTTATCCTCGTCTGTCGGCGAATGTCTTCATTTCTAATGTGGTCGCGAAGACTGATACCCATCATGGCACTTTCCATAGCTCTTTGGCTCACTCGCAACCTGTTCACACTTCGTGCCGTCATCGTCATAGTCTCCAAACCATAGGTCATGACAGGCAAGACGCATTTGTTGTAAACGTCTCTTTTTAGACTATTTGGGATTTTGCTTTTGAATATAAAGTTAAGTTTACCAAAAGCTGCCCATCCGAGTTTGATCCTTCTAGAAATTTCGGTTGTTTGATTTTCCTTGCCGAGTTTTATGGCCGAGTTTTTATTTTATTTTCCGGGCAAGGAAAACTCGGCAAGGATTATAATGAATAATGACAATTCATGTAGAATTAATTTACATATTAGAGTTTGGTTGGATTTTAGATTTGTTTCTTATTGCAGAACATTTTGTATTGGTGTACATTTTATTCACACAAATGTTCTTTATAGTCTTTTGATGTGACTTTCACTTGATTAACAGAATGAGTTTTAGTTACATCAAATTGCCAAAAAGGATATTCTGGAAAGACTGTTCTGTTTGGCAACTAGCAAAAAAAAAATCTACAAAAAGGGGCCAAACGTAGTAGAAATATGTTATAACCTAAGTATGAAGAGTTTGATATTAACTAACTTGGAATATTTTTGAATTTGAAGTTTTAAATTTGATGAAATTTTAAAAGTTGATTCGTGGTTATGTTCGTCTCACAGAAGAAGTTTAATATGTCTATACTAAATGCTATAAAAAATATATTAGATAATAGGAACCACTATATGCCTTAAAAATTGCTTTTTAATTTTTGTAGATTATAGATAGTATAGTATTTATTCTTCTTGAACAATTCTTTGTTGTTCTTTTAAGTTGTTATGTTTTCATACTAGTTCTTATTATAATTTGTTCTTTATTATAATAATGGAGTCTTTCAAATATTAAAATAACATATTTTTATGATTATTTTTAGAATTCTTATGCCTACTTAGCCGATTTAGGTGGTCCCGGATTAGTAGTGTATTCCTGGAAAAACAACAAGAGTTGGAAAGTAACTCACAACTTTTTCCACATCAACCCATTGGCTGGTGACATGAACGTTGCTGGTATCCCGTTCCAATGGACTGACGGAGTTTTTGGATTAGCTTTAAGGCCCGAAAAAGATGGTTATAGCACTCTCTTTTTCCATCCCATGACTGGGTTTGATGAGTTCTCAGTTAGTACTCGAGTAAGTAGGATATGATATTATGTATCAAGTAAAAACATTAAAGATATTAAAAAAATAAGAATCAACCAACCATCACATATTATCATCACAGCACGTCGAGTATGTACGGGGTGGTCCGAACTTTATTCCGGAAACGTCGGTCCTAAAATGCTTAGTTTCGGAGATACAGGGTGTAGAAGTTTTATTTTTATTTCAATTTTCTCCAAATAATTTCTGAAGTAACGTCAATGTTTGGATGAAAATTGGTATCTGGGACTTTTTGATAAAATTTGATTTTGATGTCAATATGACTTCTACTTGTAGAGAGCGCCACCTACATATTTTTTAACTAGTTTGAATACTAATAACTTTTCGTCCGTACCTGTATAAAACTACTAGCGATGGGAACTATCGAATGAATTAGACTATCGAATGGTTAATGAATGAATGATTTCAACTATCGAATGGTTTTATTCGAATAAAATCATTCATTCATTTGTATACTAAAGCATATGTGACAACCTCGCCGTGCGACAGAATGGTTATCGTTGCGCCACGACTATCGAATGCTTTTGATAAATGAAATTTAGTATTCGTTTGATTTTTGTATGCGTCAGTGCATTATTAGTTCTTCCAAATTTTTATAACTTCGCCGTATAAATACTGTGCTATTTTTGCATTTATTAAAATAGTTAAAATACTAAAATAGTAGTTATTTTTTAATTTTATTTATTGACGATTGTGTGCATGTGCAGGTGGTCAAATTTTTTCCGAAAATTTGTGTGGTTTTCCGTAGTCCGATCTTTCAATTATTTAATTTTATATGGTATATGGTCTATTTTTTGGGAAATTTTGAGAAGTAGCAATTTTTAAGAGAGATGAGATGAACTTACAATTAATTTTAAAAATACATATTTGCATTTTAGATGTTTTAATAATATGAATTAGTTGGAACTTAATAATCATATTTAAGTAATGTGGTTAAGTAAATGGGGGGTTATCGAACTCAAACTATGGGGTGAGAAAATCAAAATGAAAGTTTTACACGTGCCAGTTTAAAAAAAAAGTTAACGATGTTTGTATTTTGTTTATGCTAATTCTCTTACATGTAGTTTTTTGCGAAGAAATGTTTCATTTATTTTTTAAAGTAAATGCCAGTAAAAGTAAATATAATTTTTAAATAGTAATATAAAGCACCTAATATAAATAATTTTGATTTCTAATTTTTTATTTATATTTTCGTTCCATTACACTGCATGCTTAGAAAATTAATAATTGTTTATATTTCATGATTTTAAAATTTGTTGTTAATATAACAAATTAGTTCTGTAATTATTATTATTTAATAAACCAACGTTGCCAAAAATTTAGAGACTATATTATTTTTAAATAGGATCTAATATAAATAATTTTGACATCTAATTTGTTGTTTATATTTTGCTACTACTTAAAAAAATATTTATATTAAATCATTTTAAATTTTGTTGTTAATAGGTATAACAAATTATTACTGTTATTATTATTTATTAAACCAGTCTTTGCTTAAAAACATTAAAAATCATTTTCTTACATCCAAAATAACAAGTATTATTGCAGTGTAACAACAGAATATTAATAAAAAAAATGCAGAATATATAGACATACTATCCCTAACTAACTAAAGCCCTTCTAAAGCCAAACAATAATATTCTTTGCTAATATCAACTAATACCACAATATGGCAACAGCGCCCTTCATAATGTATTTTCTGTGTAAATACTAGCACCTCAATAAAAAAAATAATCTATATCTGACTCCGCAAAAAATCAAAGATGCCGGCTTCTTTCATAGCATTGCCACCGACCGCTGTCGGGTTTCTCGGAAAGAAACCTACGTCGCCGGGCGACAACTAAAATTCAGTTAATATTTTATTATAATCGATCCTGACGAATAAATGAATTTCATAAATGAATGAATTTTATAAATGAATGGTTTTTGCTGACGAATTACTAGAATACAATATTTCAAGGCAGATGACGGATCTATTCGATAATTTTTATTCGAATAGTTTTCAACGAATGTTTTCTTACTAACTATCGAATTATTCGAATGAATTGCAACTATCGAATGTTTCGATAGTATTCATTCGATAGTTCCCACTACTAAAAACTACCGAGTAAAGAAATATACATATTATACATTTTCGACGTTTCTTACGTAAAAAAAGATCTCTCGGTAAAAATCGCTACGTGCAATCGTTCTCAAGATATTTAGAATAAAAATAGTCAATACAAGTCATTATTGACAAAAAATAAACATATTGAGTAGATTTATTTTTTTAAATTAACCATAAATATTTCTTCGAAAAATGAAGATGAAACATTTTCCTTTGAACTTTTGGCACAAAAACATTTCATATTTATGATCTCAGTCTAGTAGCTATTTAGTGAACATGTTTAATTTATGTCAATCATGACAGGTATTGATAGTGAAATTAGATTATTCCAAATATCTCGATAACCATTACTCGAAGCGATTTTTAGCAAGAGACCTTTTTTGCATAAAAAACGTCGTAAATATATATATTTTTATTTAGTAGTTTTATACAGGTACGGACGAAAAGTTATTGGCCTTCAGACTAGTTAAAACATATGTACGTGGCGTCCTCTATAACTAGAAGTCATATTGACATCAAAATCAAATTTCTCATGTTAAAAAACTCCCAAAAAACAATTTTCATCCAAATATTGACCTTACTTCAGAAATTATTTGGAAAAAATCGAAATAAAAATGAAACTTCTATACCCAGTATCTCCAAAACTAAGCCCATTTCAGGACATACATTTATACAACTTTTTTACTTATTTTTACATTGACCACACTGTATACTAACAATAGTCCGTTAAGATACATTGTAGTTCCAGAGTTATTCGAGAAAACCGAAAATTGAAGATTTCAATTTTATTTTTTTCTGACGTTAGTTAAGCTATCCCAAAAAAATAAAAGAAAATAAAATATGGCGCTATAAGAAAATCGAAAAACTGAAAAAAAAAGTTTTTTGGCGTTTCTTAAAATTTTAGGATTAATTGAAATGGGAGATGAACATTTTATATAAATATTCAATGCTCTTTCTTCATAGCTATAAATTGTGATATAAATGCCATCTGATTTTTTTAAGAAAATCAAGATGATAAGCATATACATTTTGCTAGCTAATTCGTTCTTTTCAATCACATTTCAGGTACTGCGAGACGAATCTTTAGCCACCAATTCCAGCAAGTACTACGAGTTTAAACACCTAGGCAGTCGAGGTCCCAAAAGTCAAAGTGGCGCAGCATTTGTAGACAAGAAAACAGGGGTACTGTTTTACGCTCTGGTCAACCTTAACGCTGTTGCTTGCTGGCGTACTACAAACCCCAAGTACACCATGGAATCCCAAGGAAGAATTTATATGGACAACGAAACCATGATCTTCCCTAACGACGTAAAAGTCGATAATGAAGGAAATCTGTGGGTACTGTCTGATCGTTTGCCTATATTTATGTACAGTGCTCTGGACAAGAATGATTACAACTTCAGAATAATGACAGCTAAAGTACCCGATGCCATTAAAGGTACTGCATGTGCTGCCAAGTTTAGTCCTGATCCAGAAATAATGAATAAAATTACCAATAAGTTAGGAGGAGGAGATAAAATCAAATCCAGAACTTCCGGATCTGCAAGTGCATTCACCTTTAATGTGATTGTATTAACAGCAGGGTTAATATTATCGTTAACCAGGTAGTTTAATAAAATGACTGTGAAGGAGTCAAAGCTGTTATAATCTTCATTGTGACGTTACGTGATATACTATACTCGGCCTTTTGTTTTACAATTCCATTAGACGAATTTAAATCTTAAATTATTTATTGACAAAAACATAAATAAAAAAGGTTCGTTGCTTATTAAGTTAATTTAAAAAAAATGGATACTGAAATAATGTGTCTCTCCAACGAATCAGGAATTTTGACAGACGACATCAAAACATATAATTTACCATTGAATTAAAATGGCTGACAGAACTGTCTCTGTGATTTATCCTCTCACTGAACAGACTATACCATTTTGGTCATCTTGAAAGCGTGGTCCTGAGTTTAACATGTATGACAGTGATGACAATCAAATAAATGTATTAAAAAGAGATAAAAGTTAGGTTGACACATTTCTTCTATTCGGTATTGCCGGATTTTCATTTCTGCATCAAAATCTTAAACCGCACAAGTAGGCGTTTATGAAAAATGTTGCATCTAGGATTGAAAATATATTTGTCACAATTAGTTACTCGTTTTACACAGCAAAATATTATATTTAGTATTCATGGAACTTTTTAAAATAGTTTATTTTTTCTACACACATTTTCTTACCCAGGTAAAAACCGACAACATTGTGTGCCGTTTTTCATCTTTTGTCTCTCTGTCTGTCAACCGGTCATTTATCTCTCTGCCGCATGCGTTAAAATACAGACCACGCAAGTGTCCTGGATGGTATATGATAGAATTATACCGTATGATCGAAAAAAAACGGCGTCCAGTTGGCTGGGAAATGAACATCAATGACATTTCCCATATAAATTTACATTTAAAATGACAGCGATCTTCATTCCATAGCCATCGCTGACGCCGTTTTTTCTCGATCATACGGTATTAGATATACAGGGTGTCCCAGGCTGAGCGTCCATTAGAAGTTTCTAGAGAACCAAAATATCTAGATCGGAGATTTTTTGCACATCATCGTTTCACAACGAGATCTATCGATTAAAAGTATTTTCAAAATGGCGGCATTTCCAGAAATACCGAAAGTTGACAGCAATTTTCTTATTATAAATAGATGCCCCCATTTTTTATTACATACTTAAATTCTCTGTAAAATTCTATGGATATTGATGTTAACACTCTATACCTAACATTAACCGTTTTTGAGAAAAAAAAAAATAAAATTTTTGGACGAATAAAATTACCTGTCAAAAAACATTGTATAGCGCAAAAATCAAATTTAGTGATTACCACAGCTACTGTGACATAAAGAGAAGACATGTACCTATCTATTTGAAAAATTAAATTGTTCAAATGTCATATAATAATGGCGGTAGCTGTCATGGAATTGAGCGATTAAAAAATTATCATAAATAATTTTTTTCAAATTCCATGACAGCTGCGGCCATTATTATATGACATTCGAACAATTTAATTTTTTAAATAGACATGTGGCTGTTTCCTCTATATAGCACAGTGGCTATGGTAATCACTAAATTTGACGTTTAGACTATACACATATTTTTGACAGGCAGTTTTTTTCGTTCAAAAATTTTAAATATTTTTTTTCTCAAAAACGGTTAATGTTAGGTATAGAGTGTTTAATATCAAAATTCATAAAAATTTACAGAGAATTTAAGTATGTAATAAAAAATGGGGGCTCCCATTTAAAATAAGAAAGTTGCAGTCGACATCCGGTAATTCCGGAAGTGCCGCCATATTGAAAATATTTTTAATCGATAGATCTCGTTGTAAAACAATGATGTGCAAAAAATCTCTCCGATCTAGGTATTGTAGTTCTCTAGAAACTTCTAATGCACGCTCAGGCTGGGACACCCTGTATATATATTTTATAAAATGCAAGAGATTTTAATTTTTTTCTTTATAATTATGATTGATTTGTTCGTAATGTCTGTCCAAGGTGTCGGGGGTCTGTCCAAGATTTCGACAAACGACATCCAAAAAATGACAGAACATACAATTTACTGTTGGAACACCTGAATTTCGGACGTTTCTTTGTGAAAAATAATATTATCATTGATTTTAAAAAGTGCGTAGGAATTTTGTGCCGTCATATTCTTTTCGCAGAGTAAAGCTTGATTTTCATGCATCGGTAATCCGACGAGACGTTGATACGATATTAATTTTATTTTATTTGTTATTTGTTTAGATTTCGATTGGTTAGAAACGGTTAACCAATCGAAGCCTTTAAATTCAACCAATAAAATTAATATCGTATCATCGTATCGTCGGACAACGGATTCATGAAAATCAAGCTTAAGTCCGATATTCCGATGGAAAAATATTCACTACAATATTAAACGAATTGTTTTTTTCCCGATTTTGTTTAATTTGTTCATTATTGCAATAACCTTAGATATTAAAAATATTAACTTATAAATGCGATAACTTTACAGATTATGTTGACCTATTTATTATTTATTTTTGATATTACTGAGTAGCACAGTCACGTTAATAGGACAGGGTTTACGATATTTTCGTATCAAACGATTTTTTCGATATTTCTTATTAAAGGTTTGCGTTTATGCGAAATTTATCTGTACTTATTATTTTAATAAGTAATAAATGCATTCTAGTGCCGTATTACGTTTAATAAATTTTATATTGTTATTTGTAAATCTGTGTTGATGTAAAATGTAAATAGTAATATCTAATATAGAGGGTTGTTCACCATATTCGACACGGAGTATTGTAGCTAAACGATTAGATTTTTACAAATTGTAAGGTTTGGGTTCGTTGAAGGACTATTAGAGCTACAATCTAAAAATATTTTTACAAGATACAGAGTGTCCCAAATAAGTTAAAACTATTATAGTTGTATTTTTTTAAATGGAACACCCTGTATATTATTATATTTTTAGATTCTACGATTAAAATAAAGGTAAATTTGATTAAGGTTTATTACACTCAAACCTTACCGTTTTTGAAATATTTTCAATTTTATGAAATTGCAGTAAACATTTTAAGGCTTCATTTCTCCAAGGGTATCTAAGTTTTTAATACTAAATAATTACTGAAGTTTATTTATTGATCAGATATTGTGTTGCAATAATAAACGAAATACTACCTTATACAGGGTGTCTAAAAATTTTTATTAAATAATTACTAGCTTTAAACGCCAATAACTTGTTTAATTTAAATGGAACACCCTGTATATTTTACGAGAATCAGATGCACAATTTAATTGTCTATCCAATTGTATTATACCATTTTTACCTATCTCTTCAAGTTTTTGTAGAAGTAGCATTTTCTTATAATTTAGACCTCATTTATCACTATACCCATGGAATATTGACATTTTAGATTATTTTAAAAATGTAACAAATTTTCAAAGAGTACTAAGTACAAAGAGATACTAATATGGTCGATATAATTTGCTTATTTCATTAAAAAATAAGAAACTTTGTTTAAATATTTGTTAAATAGCACCAATTAATATGATCCTAGTATTTAAACTACATTAATTCACTGTTTACGTTGATTAACAATAATTTTTCCAAATACTAAAAACCTGAATTTTGTATGTGTATGAGACAGTGTGGTAAAATGTACCACCTTATAAATATATTTCATTTTTTGACGAATGCTTATTTATAACAACAGAGATGTTCATTTATATAACTTATTATTGTATTGATTTCTGAGTCAAATCCACATTTATTTAGAATAATTTATTAATTAAAACAATTAAGTATGTAATTAACTAATTGTTAGGCGGAAATAATAGGCGGAGTATATTAATAATTAGTAATAATTGGTATACTCTTTTACAAAGACTTAAATAGTTTTCTTTTTGTAAACAAATGGGCTTACAATATTATTATTTTTACCACCTGTATATTTTGTACACATGTTGCTGTGTAAAAAAATCTAAAATGTCAATATTCCATGGGTATAGTGATAAATGATGTCTAAATAATATAAAATGCATTTTCTACGAAAACTTGAAGAAATAGGCAAAGAATGGTATAAAACAATTTAATAGACAATTAAATTGTGCATCTGATTCAAGTAAAATATATAGGGTGTCCCATTTAAATTAAACAAGTTATTGCCGTTTAAAGCTAGTAATTATTTAATATAATTTTTTGAACACTCTGTATAAGGTTGTGTAATTTTTATTATGGCAATATAATATCTGATCAATAAATAATCTTCAGTAAATATTTAGTATTAAAACTTTTAATACCCTTGGGGAAATGAGGCCTTAAATTTTTTACTGCAATTTCACAAAATTGAAAATATTTCAAAAACCCAAAACTTATAATTTGTAAAAATCTGATCGTTTAGCTACAATACTCCGTGTCGTATGTGGTGAACAACCCTGTATTTTTGTTCCGTACATGAATAGACCTAAGTACTTAATAAGGTAGTTTGTAAGTTAAAAATGTAAATATTTTAGTATTTAGAAATAAATTTTATATTTACAATAGGTTTGTCTCGATTCATCCTTTCAATTTATAGGTAAGGAATGATAAAAATGGAACTACAACTATATTTTATTTATAAGCGATCTCGATTTCAAATTGCATACTAAACAGCCTTGGAAAATCAGTGAAAGGGCACCTTGTTTCCGACCTTGTCTTTTTGGAATTTATTTATAATATCTTGTTGACATTTTTTTTTCTCATGAAATAAAAATGAGTTGTTATTTTTGATCCGTGTTCCTAATTATAGAAAAAATAACGTAATAATGTTTCTAGAACTAGATTAATTTTATTTTATCAATATATAGGTATTTTTTTATTATTTCTCATTTATGTTATTTCTGCAATACGTTCCAGATTTTCTTTGCTTCTATATCAGTCCCTTCTCACAGTGAGATTAAAGTAATAATTTAGTTAACAATTTAAAAATAAACTGTAAATGGCTAAAATGGAATGGCATACACCGTCCATTCCCCCAACGTTTTAATAGATTGGTCAAATTGTTTTTTTTGGAGAAAGTTTTGGAGTAGTTCTGATTTATTTTGTTCTGTATGTTTTTGGGGTGCTGACTCCGGATCTATCGTTTGCTAATAAAATTTCCTGACGGAACATTGAAAAAAATGCAAAAAACGTAAAAAATTCCGCTTTTTGCGGTTTTTTTGCTTATTCAGAAATAATACCTCTACACAAAATAAAAGTAGACTAAATTTCCTTATTGTATTGACTATTGCTTTTTATCTACTGCCTGGCTGCCGCCTAACAGTTTAAAAAGAAATGCTGCTGTTAAAAATGTATCATTAAAATATATAAAAATCTGACTTAATTAAGTCTTTTATACAAAGACTTAAATCTTTTTATTGACTCAACTCGTTTCTAAAAAGACTTAAATCTTGTTCTATTTCGGAATAAAAATTTAAATCGTTTTTTTCGAAACCCTTAAGCTAGCTTTCGAAAAATGACTTAAAATCAAGTGACTTAAGTCATTAAAATGATTTAAGTCAAAAAAAGACTTAAGTTTTTCTGTGAGTTTGCACCTCTGGTTGCGGTAATGCTATAGTTCGAATTTACTCACTTAACTGAGAAATTCGTATACGATAACTATTTTTTATGGTGTTTTATAGGTTAAAATTTCCCTTTTCCTTTCGGATCGAAATTTCCCACCAATCGGGAAATTTCTCACGAGTTGGCATCATTGGGTAATAGATTAAATTTACAAAGAAGAAAACCCAGAATAAATCCAATTGTTCGATCTCAAAATATGCAAATATTCATTTTTTTTTATTTTCAAAGTAAAAGAACTGCTATTTTGGACTTATCTGAAAAATGGGAAAGAGAAAATATGTTTCTTTTATCGAGGTCTAACAGCCTTAAAAATATTTGCACTTGTTTATGATTTATGATGAAATATTACTACCCGAATAGGTATATTTTATCAACATACCTATATATATAAAATCCTTAAGTGACTGACATACTGATTAATCACGATCCTGCTCAAACCACTCAACGTAAGAAGCTCAATTTTGGCATACAGGTTGATTCTAGGGTGTAGAGGTTCGATAAGAAGGGATTTTTCGAAATTCCAGTTCCAAGAGGGTGAAACCATCTCTCAAATATTACAATATTTTTTATTTAAAAAGCGGTCAAGTTTCCGAAAAAACGCTTAAATACGTATATTTTATTTTGCTTTTTTACATATTTTAAGATTTTTTAAAAATGTATACAGAGTGTTTCGAATCTGGTCATTGATTAATCACGATCCTGCTTAAAGCGCTTGACGTAAAAAGCAGATTTTTAGAAAACAGATTGACTTTAGGGTGTAGAAGTTCGATAAGAAGGGATTTTTCGAAACTCGAATTCTAAGGGGGTGAAACTATCCCTCAAATATTAAAATATTTTTTATTTAAAAACCGGTGAGTTTTTCGGAAAAACTCTGAAACACGTATATTTTATTTTGTTGTTTTACATATTTTAAGATTTTTTATAAATTTATACAGGGTCTTTCATAAAATATGACCATTGAATAATCACGATTCTGCTTAAACTGCTTGACGTTTAAAGCTGATTTTTGGCAAAGGGATTGACTGTGGGGTGTAGAGGTTCGATAAGGAGGGGTTTCTCGAATGTCAAATTCCAAGAGGGTGAAAACGCCTCTCAAATATTACAATATTTGTTATTTAAAAAACAGTTAGTCTTTCGGCAAAACGCTTGGACCAGCATAATTTATTTGGGTTTTTTACATATTTTGAATTTTTTTAAAAAATCATACAGGGTGTTCCAAAAAGTTGGGTAATTTCTTAACCACGATTCTGCTTAAACTGCTTGACGTAAAAAGCTTATTTTTGGCAAACGGATTTTTCGAAAGTCAAATTTCAACGAGATGAAACTACCCCTCAAATATTACCAAGTTATATAATAATATCGCCATATTGTTTTTTCTCATGCTGACATAAATGTGAGAAAATTTTATCCAGTTTGTATGTTAATGGAAATTCTTGCTTTGCTTTATCATCACCATTACAAATGATTAACTCGACGCGAACAAAGTCGCTGGTACACGCTAGTTGTTTATATTCTATTATTTAAATAACGAAATAGAAGAATAATTCCCTTCAATCCAGTAAACAGGGTGAGTCTTATATAAGTGCAAATATTTTCAGAGATTAAAGAAATAAAAATAAAAAATAAAAATAAATATATATTCATCGATTAAAGAAACATATTTTCTCTTTACCGTTCTTCAAATAAATCCAAAATAACCGAGTTATTTTACTTTGAAAATTTACCAAACCAAACCAAACCAAAAAAGGTGAATTTTTGCTAAAATTTTGAGAACCAGTGGATCTTTTCTGGATTTTCTTTATTGTAAATTTAATCTACTACCTATGTTACCATATTATCAACAAATTGTGTTTTTTAAGTAAAAACTAAAGATTTTTCCAAATATTTTTTTAAAAAAAAATTTAAATTTTCAATTTTTTTTCGGGAAAAAACTTTATAATCGTGTTTCTGGAGTCAAAATATACCACCCCTAAAAATATTTGCACTTATTTAAGACTCACCCTGTATATTCTATATTCCTAATTCGGCTGGTTATATATACAATAAAAATATACGTATTTACATGTTTATTAAATTTTGGAGTAATCATCCAAAACGATCATTCATACTAGATTAGAATTTATCAATAAATTAACGTATATTAGATCAATTTTAAACTAATTAAATCATAAAATAATACCCCCAATTAATACTATGCAACTACCAGGTAATTGTTATATTTATTATCTAAATACCATATAAATTTACCGTAAATTATACATATACAAATTTCTGTAAATACGCGTTTGTTTTACAGGTATAATAGTACCAAAGGTTGAATATTAAGTACATGAATGTAAATTAATTGTATCATATTGTTTTGCATCATATGCGGTTTTGTCGAACAATTGTTTACGGAAAATTATTATTTGTCATTTGGTCTCACCAGAATGTAGTGTTTCTAATATAGTGTTTTATTAATAAATAATATTAAAGAGTAGAACAGTAAGTAATTTATTATTTTATAAATAGCCAGTAACGTCAATTCAAAAACATAATCATTAAATGAAAATACTGTTCAGTAACACATATAAGAGAGATAATATTTATCAATAATTCAGGGGCACTTAAAATAGTTGTTTTGTTGTTCGTTATTTTTATAGGTTAGTACTGTTTATAACAATTATTGAAATTATGAATATGAGAAAAGTGTCTCGTGGTAATTTAAAAAAAATATGAAAAATGATTACATGAAAAGAATACATTTTTTAAGTTATTAGCGAATTAATTTACACAATGAATATTTATTAATTTAGTAATTCTATCGTCATTTCCCTTAGTTCAGTAATTTGGAAATATGGATATGAGTAATGTCGTTAAATCCAGTCTCGGTTTCAAATATCCATCTTTAAGGGACGATCCTTTACATTCAGGTAAGTACTATGATTTTTTCCTTACATTAGAAAGAACTTAATTTATCTGAATATATTATCGTCATTTTATATTACTTACTAGCGTGTAACCGCGACTTCGTTCGCGTCGAATTAACCATTTGTAATGGTGATGATAAAGCAAATCAAGAATTTCCTGTGGTCAAGAATTTCAAAGTGGTCTGTAAAAGTGTAGACTCATACAAACTGCATGACACTTTCTCACATTTATGTCAGCATGAGAAAAAACAATCGAGAAACCCCTCCTTATCGAACCTCTACACCCCACAGTCAATCCGTTTGCCAAAAATCAGCTTTAAACGTCAAGCAGTTTAAGCAGAATCGTGATTACGCAATGGTCATATTTTATGAAACACCCTATATAATAAAAATCAGCAAAATAAAAACACTAAATCACCACAATACACCAAAACACTTTTACTTTTACACTGGACGCGCGTTTCGCTAACCATGTTAGCATCATCAGCAGATGATTATAAACTGGTTTTTGAGTTTATAATCATCTGCTGATGATGCTAACATGGTTAGCGAAACGCGCGTCCAGTGTAAAAGTAAAAGTGTTTTGGTGTATTGTGGTGATTTAGTGTTTTTATTTTGCTGTTTAACACCAAAGGTTCCAACCCTCAACTGTAACCCTATATAATGTTTATAAAAATCTTAAAATATGTAAAACAACAAAATAAAATATACGTGTTTAAGAGTTTTTCCGAAAAACTCACCGGTTTTTAAATAAAAAATATTCTAATATTTGAGGGGTGGTTTCACCCCCTTAGAATTTGAGTTTCGAAAAATCCCTTCTTATCGAACCTCTACACCCTAAAGTCTATCCGTTTTCGAAAAATCAGCTTTTTACGTCAAGCACTTTTTTCCCAAAGGGGCCGTCCTCTGCCGGAAACACTGCGACCTGTGAGGCCTATTGTGTTTGTTCCCTTTCTATATCTGCACCCATTCTCCTATCCCTGTGCCCTGCACTAACTTATGCAGGTCCTTGATAGGATGGGAGCTTAGTTCCTCCGGTTCTAGCCTTGCTTTCCCAAATAAAAAGTGTCGCTTGCGATCCAGAGCCTCGCAGTGACATATTATGTGTTCCGCTGTTTCAGGATCTTTGTCGCAGAGTCTGCAGCAAAGACTTCCTTGATACAGGTTGATCTTGTTCAGGTAATACTTGACAGCCATATGTCCTGTCAAGAGGCCTGTTGTAATCCGCAATTTATTCCTGCTAAGCATTAGCAGTTCTTTTGCGGTTTTAGAGCTAGGTCCTTGGATAAAAGCCTTGCTGTGCCTGTGCCCCTGTCTGTTTCTCCAGTGGACATTCTGCTTTTCCCTGATCCAGAGTTTTAGTGCACTACGGGCCATACATTTGGGTATTCCCAGTACTGGCTCTGGACCAAGATAAGATGCTTATGATCCTTGCCTAGCTAGCTCATCGGCTTTTTCGTTGCCTTGGATGCCGCTGTGGCCCGGCACGGACTAATTATCAATAGTAGTTTTTATATGTTAAATTATGTATTATTTATTATTAGGTCTATTACAAACCGCTGACAATATAATCGATCTTAGCATACCTAGAAATTCTCCTTTTTAAGGTGCCGTGCAGATTCCTGCCTAGGCGTTCATCTTTTTCTTCCTCATCAGATGGTTCGATTTATTGCAGCGACTTGGAGTGCTTGGAAGTTAAGTTTCCTCTTCTTGATGATTTCGAAGAGTTCACGTTTTTCTAGACCAGCTCTTCTGAGAATGTCTTCATTCCTCACACGGTCGACCCAGGACACTTTTAGCATTCGTCGTAGGGTCCACATTTCGAAGGCTTCAATTTTGTTTATTGTTGCTACCTTCAGTGTCCATGCTTCCACACCATATAACAAAACGGACCTGACATAGCACTTCACCATTCTGTATCTCAGGCCGAAGTTCAAGTTTCTATCTGTAAGAAACCTTCGAAGTTTTAGAAAAAGTTATTCTTGCTTGCTCGATCCTGCATTTGATTTCCTGATCTGGATCCAATGTACGTTTAGTTAACAATGCATCCCAAATATTTAAATTGTCTAACCTGCTTGATGACCTCTCCATTTAAGTAAATTTTGGTGTTCGGAATGTTGTTTCTGCTGACAGCCATAAATTTAGTTTTTCTAGTATTAATGTTTAAATCCAGTCTTTGGCTTTCATTGTTAACCTTATTTAGAAGGATTTGGAGATCATTCGCATTGTCTGCTAATATCACTGTGTCATCCGCATATCGGATATTATTAATTGTTAATATTCAAGCCAATGGAACTGTCGGAGATTGACTCAGTGAATGCTCTTTCCTCATACAAGTTAAACAACATTGGAGACAGAATGCCTTTTACCCTTTTTTATTTTAAAATCTTCTGTTACTCCAACGTTATGTATACGAATTTCAGCTTATTGGTTCCAATACAAATTACTGATCAGCCTTATATTTTTTCCATCAAGTCCCAAGTCTCTGAAGTATGATATAAGGAGGTTATGTTTAACATTATTGAACGCCTTTTCATTTCTATAAAGCACACGAAGACATCTTTTCTCTGATCTTGACAATTCTGCACTAATGTTTGAAGACTGAATATGGCTTCTCTAATACCAAAGCCGTTCTTAAATCCAAATTGACTATCTCAACTTACTTCCTCACATTTTTTGTAGAGTCTTGTATGCAGCATCCGGAGAAAGAGCTTAAGGAAGTGGCTCATTAGACTAATAAGACGATACTCTTTACACGAAGTTGCGCTATTTGACTTACATATACCTAGAAATAACTAATAATTATTATTGTAGATTTTCGTTTTTATTAAGTATAATACAATTGCTCCAAACCTACTGTGTTTTACTGTGTATAACGGTCTATTTTTACACACAAAAACGGTCAGCCGCTGAGCAAAATTCTTAGCGGTCAGTCAACGGCTGTGTTTCCTGAACGCGCACTATAATTTTTTGATTAAATTTTGAGAACCCCTGGAGCTTTTCTGAGTTTTCTTTCTTGTAAAGTTAATCTACTACCTATGTTGCCATATTATCAAGAAATTATGTTTTTCAATCAAAAACTAAAATAAAATCTAAAAAATTTTGCAAAAAATTCCAAATTTTCAACCTTTTTTTTCGTGAAAAAAATTTGTGAAAATTGTGTTTCTAGGGTCCAAATATACTACCCCTAAAATATTTGCACTTATTTAAGACTCACTCTGTATATTTATATTTTAGGCCTAAAATGGTTGGAAGGAAAAAATACAGACGACAAAGCTGAAAATCTATGGAGAATTCATGATAAATTATACGATTTAAGAAAATTTGTAAATCTTCACCCCGGAGGGTCAGAATGGATAGAATTAACTAAGGTAAGGCTTAAATAATAAAACATTACAAAATCAACAATTTTTTAGAGACCACTTATATTACGATGCAATACAAATCCAAATATTTGGTAAATGTACTTTTATCGTTTATTTTTAGGGTACTGATATAACTGAAGCTTTTGAATCACATCATCTGTCACCTAAGGCTGAAAATTTGCTTCCAAAATATTTTGTAAAAGAATCGTCTACTCCAAGAAACTATCCATTTACATTTAAGGAAAATGGTTTCTATAGAACACTAAAAAGGAATATTTATCAAGAATTAGAGACAGTTCCCAAAAGTGCCATAACCAGGACAAAGATTCTGATAGATTCTCTATTAGTTTCTTATTTATCATTTTTCCTATTAGCTGTATATTACAAAAGTGTTATCCTCGGAATACTATCTGGACTGAGTTTGGGTTTCTTGACTGGAGCTGCCCATAATTACTTTCATCAGAGAAATAGTTTTAGAAGGTTTTATTTTAATTTCTCAATGATGAGTTGCAGGTTAGTCACTAAAGTTATTTTGATTTATCTTTTTTATCTATCCAAGTATTCTTTTAGTGAATGGAGAATAAGTCATGTGCTGAGCCACCATATGTATACTAATACAGTTTATGATCTAGAAATATCATCTGTAGAGCCATTTTTTCAATATTTACCAGGAAAGAAGAATTTTATAGTAAGATATGGGTCTTGGATATATGGAGTATTTATTTATGCTGTATTATTTGTAACATCATACATAAAAACGCAAGTATATAATACGTTGCTGCTCTACTTTATCTGATTTATTAATTATTTGCAGAGCGGCGTCTTTAAGAAGCAAAGTCAATTGGACCTTTCTTCTGCCATTTTTACCATTAATTCTTTCGTGGGTCATCACTAATCAGCCACTAGAAATCTGCGCATTCTTTTTTTTGTGGATTATTACTATTGGTAGCTTACATTTCGCAATTATAGGACTAAATGCAGCACATCATCATCCAGATATATTCCATGATGGAGATACTGCACGGTATGTAAATATTAAAGTAGATGTCGGTCTTAAAATATAAATATATTGCAGTAAACCAATCCATGTTTTTTTCTACCGTATAATATTGCTTCTTAAGAAAGTTTGTTGTGCATTTCTTTAAGTAATTGTTCACGAATAACTGTGTTTTTCAATGTTCGTACAATTATGTTATTGTTTAGAAATCACTCTCCGAATAGTCTTATAATGACCGCGGTAGGCTTTTTGCATAACATTAGGTTGCAATTTTTCATGAGAAACTTATTTATGTTACTTGGACCTCTTGTGCATCTTCCCACAAGAAAAATGCACCTTCAAATTGTTTATTTTGAATTGTACAATTTTCTCATAAATTGGCTACAGTAGTAGGGCAAACTATTGTTTCTTTGGCCCTTTAGTTTACGTATTTACATCTCCTGCAACGTGGTGTGTCACTTAGCTTTGTTTTGTTTTAGGTGTCCATTGCACTGGAAACATCCAGTTAGTATTCCAATTGTTGTTCAAAGACTTTTTTTTGTATTTCAATTGTTGTTCAACGCCCATTTACAGCTCTATTTTATCTTACTACTTCTTAAATTTAGTTTGTTATAGCTAGTTCCTTATAGCCGATTTGGATATTCTTGTCAGCAAAAAAATTGTTTGGAACAATTCAAAAAGTTCTAACAGAAAATTTTATATATCAATTTTAAAACCGTACATATTTTTTATATTTTTGAATACATGTTTTGTAGACCATGTTACCATCGTCAGAAGATGGTTTAAATTCAGTTTTGATAAAATCATGCATAGAATTTTGAGAAAAATATGTTTTGGTGTGTTGTGATTGACCTGTGTAATTTTCTTTAGTGCTTTTAAAATAGCATTGAATTTATCTATTTATCTTTTTTGACACTTTATGGACTGTTATAAATTAAAAGTAAATATTATTGATTTTTAGGCCAAAGACGGAACTTGACTGGGGTGTTTTTCAACTGGACGCCGTGATGGACCGGAAAGACATAACTGGATCTCATTTTCTAGTTTTGACAAACTTTGGTGATCATGCATTACATCACCTGTTTCCGACGCTGGACCACGGAATTTTAACCTATCTTTATCCAGTTTTTCTGAAAACCTGCAAGGAATTTGGCGTAGAATGGAGATTGCAGAGCCAGTTGGATTTGATTAAAGGACAATACAGGCAATTGGCTAAAATTGTCCCTAATCAAACGCCTCCAAAGAAATTGATAAAAACTGGCTAGTGAACAATGTAATTATGGTTTTTGGTGACTATTTAATAATTTTGTATTTGTGATTATTTGTTATATAGTTTTATAGAGTGGCAATATTGATTTTTATAATCTATCTTCTTAAGTCTTTATAGTTCCATATAATGTGATTAATAAGTTGGGTGATCCAGCGTGTTTTAAATCTTGATAGATTAACCAATACTTATGCAAAATTCGATTTTTTATGACAAAGTTAAAACTCCGTGAGTTTAACTTTTTAATTTTGGTAGAGTTGAAAGTTGAAAGTGACCAGTCTATTATCTATCAATATTCTGATACTTTACCTGTTATATTCCTAAGAGAATTATGTACTACTAATGTAGGAATATTTCAACTAAACTACTGACTCTAATCTAGTATATTGTCAGTCTTAAGCAGCTGCAATCACAGTCTTTTTGCCGAGGAGCAAGGAGAAAGACACCACCTACCTGCTGAGCCTTATCCAGGGTCAGAACTTCAATGTAAGGACATCGAGTTGGCGAGTCATCAACTCGAGGGAGGAGGGTTATGGTCAGGTCCTCACAATAGGAATTGACCTCAAATCCAAGGAGGCAATAGAGAAAGAGGGACGTCTATTATAGATAAGGGACAGCACGGGTATCAGGTCTAAGGAAAGACCAAGTTAAAGAGGTTGAGAAAATGGAGACAGATCCTCCAGCCTACACCTCATGGGTACCTCAGTCGGAGGCAATCTCCTCGACTGTGAAGGGCTCCGAACTCCAACCGTGGAAGGGTGTGTACCCTCGGAGGAAGAACATCTGTTGTCAGAGGGGGATGGGAAATACCCTGTCCCCTCTACAACAGAGGTATGATAGGTTATAGACTGTGTGATGACTCAAGTAAGGGGGGCACAATAGATCTTTAAGGTCGCAGTAACTACCCCTCTCACTCATTCTACATTCTAAGCAGCTGCTTGCAAGTGCTGATATGATATTAAAGTAACAAGTTTTTGAATTTAAATTAATTCCATTATAATATCAACAGTAGAAATACATTTAATAGTTCATTACAAATAATACTGAGTATCTTCTGATTTGTAAACAAGTCAGATTATTAATTACCTGAATATAAAACAAATGTTTGGAGTTTATAGCTTTCGCTAATATATAGGATAAAAATATAAAGTGATATTATAGGACTTATAAGTAAGAGATTAACTAAAAATAAAAACACTGAATAAAAGAACGATATAACTTGTTTATTTGTGCCTTATATCATACAACATATTCACACATACAATAATAGTTAAATATACCTGGACTTTTTACAAAATACACCGTTGGATTTAATGTGTAAAAATACAAAGAAATGCGGAGAACAAAGGCTGTTTGTGATGGTAAATACGTGTCTCTTTCTGAACCTTCTCTCTCCGTTTTTCCTGTATCAATTATAAATATTTTCTTTTAACGCTTCTAATGGCTTTCTTGTTCAAAATGAAACAACGGAGTCATACTTCTAGTCGAAAAAAAAGTATAATGAACGAAAGAAAAAAAAATAAGAACGAAAGTAAAGAAATAAAAAATAAATGTAGGTAATAATTAATTAGAAATTATTAAATTACACTCGCGGGTTTCGAACGGTGGTGGGCCCGCGATTTCAGTTCAAATTTTTCTTTGATCTAAACTAAACACAGCGCGACTTAAAAATCGTTTTCGGGGGCGAGGTCGAACCTTGGAGGGAAAAGACCACCTTCACCCAATTGAGGACGCTGTCTTGGCTAGAGAAAGAGAAAGAAAGAATTAAATAACCATTTTGTAGATACAAAATAACAAATATCAATTTCAAAACATTTTCCGTGATATACCTAGCACAATTATAATGAAAAGGCTCTATACCAGTTTTTTTTTTAGATATTGACTACACAAAAAAATATAAGGACAATAGTAACGCATATTTATAAAATATTTTTCTTAATATACAGGACGATTTAAACATATTTTCATACTAAAGTTATTTTTTTAATCGAAACGCTATACATTTTTTGCTTATTAGTCAATTTGACAAGATAATATTCTCATTCTGAAAAGACTACCATATCATATATTACAAGTATAGGTATATTATAAGTGGTTTTTAAATTATGATCATTAGGCAATATTTTTTGTACAGTCACCTAAAATTATAAGACAACAAATTCTCATTATGGTTTTTGACCCCTTCAAAACTAATTATAATATACCGGGTGCAACTCAAAAGTTGCTCACCCCCTATAACTTTTTTAATTTTTCAGATAAAAAACGATATTTGGTATGTTAGTATATGACATAAATTATAAGATTGATTGACGTATTCAATTCTTTTCGGTCATTTCCTGTTTCACCGGAAATGACTGCAACTTTTGATTTTCAGATGACATCCTCAGTATTTTTTTACATTATTCGATATAAAATGACACTCTGAATAGAATGACATATCATATGTTAACTTTGGACATTTTCGCTGTGTTAAAACACTAACTATTAGTCAAGGTGCCTTGGAAAAATTATTTTGCTTGTTTAATATTTTTCGTGCCTTGTCCTGGAGGGTTAAAAGATGCCCAAATCGTATTTTTAATCATATCAATAATTTGGTACAAAATACTTGGTATTTCGAGTCAAACTATCGTTATGAACATAGCTATTATTACAATCTAGATTGAAATTCAACATACAAGTTCTGTCGAATAAAATAAAAAAATACCGAGGGTGTAATTTAAAATCAAAAGTTGTAGTCATTTCCTGTGAAACAGGAAGTGACCGAAAACAATTGAATACCCGTTAATAAATCCTAATTCATGTCATATACTACAATGTATATTAAATCAGTTTTTTTATCAGAAAAAATAAAAAAAGTTATAAAAGTGAATCACTCTTGAGAAACATCTGGTATATTTTTTATTAGTAACGTAAAAAATCATTATCAGGTGGATGTTTATCGCATTGCAGTTTGATAAAAATATTTTTTAAAAGTGCCCTATCATTGTCCACATATTTAATAAAAACTATAAATAAGTCAAAATCAAAAACAAAAAAAAACTAATATGAAGTTTCTTTTTTGAATTTTGATCCAAATTCAATTCTGTTATAACTCTTTGATTTAATGTAAAATTTAATTAGTGTTTTGAAATTGCTTTAATTCTTTAATTATGGTTTCATTACTAATCTCTATACAAAAGTCTATATTTCTAAAAAACAATTAAAAACGAATTCAACTAATAAAAATAGTTTGAAAATTAAAAATCAGAACTGGACATTACTTATAATGGAACTGCTCTACATTTTTGTCATAAATACAAAGTAGTTTTTTTCTAATACAGATATTAAGATGGTGGGACAGTATAAGGACAAAACGATGAATCTAACTAGGAAAAAACATTTACACGAAATCTGACTTACAAGCTGCTAGAAGAATGGTTACTCCATAGCGATTGCTGGTAAGCGATTTGGTTTGTTCGCTTGAGGCTTTAATCAGAAAAGTTTTATTTTAATACGTATGTGTGTTTCTCTTTAAGTGTTTTGCTTGTTTTGAGAAATTGTTGAGATTGTAATGTAGTCAAAGACTTTTTGGTAATGCGGTAATAGTGGTTGGTGGATATATTATAGAAAAAATAATATAGAAGCCACAATATCATTTGTATAAAAATGTGATACGTAAAAACTACTATTTAAAATATAATTGCATAATGAGTAGTCAAAAGTTGAAGTTTTTAGAAAAAATAATTTGTTGGACATGACCAAGGGGTTGAAGGAAAACATATTTTTTTGTAACGCTCTCGAAAGATGCGTAAAATTTATCTTAGATAGGAACTATCGGAAACAAGAAATAGCCATCTTATCCGATAGTCAAGCAGCTCTAAAAGCTGTCAACTCAGTAACCATCAATTCGAAGTTGGTCAAAGAATGTCTAGTGGAGCTGAACAAATTGGGTAAAAAATAAAGTCCTTCTACTCTGGGTGCCAGCTCACCAATGGACAGAGGGCAATGAGAAAAAGCAAACTATCTAGCTAGAAAAGGAGCAAACACTCCACTAACTGGACCAGAGCCGTTCTGTTTTCCAAGTGGAAAGCAACTTAAAGCGGAACTCAAGAATCTGGAAGACTACATCCGTAACCTGGAATGGTAAGACAATTCGTTCATCCAACGACCTAAGGCACTCTAAGAAATTTCGAATGAGACGTAATGGACGTACGAATGAGAGAATTCAAAGATAAATAATTGATTTAAGTAAGAACAATCTTCGGATTGTCAGAGGGTTTTTAACAGGACGCTGTCTCCTCAACAAACACCTCAGTAGATTAAAGCTAAAAAACAATGGCGAATGCAGATTTTGTGGGGAAATAGGGAAACACCACAACACCTTCCTCACTGAGTGCGCCGACGACAACCATTCGTGCCATAAATTTTGGTACAACTGATATCGGAGATGGAGAACTGCCTCTTTGAAGCCGTCTCAGATACTGACTTTTGTCAAAGCCCTGAGGCTGTATGATGAGTTATAACTCGTTATAACTCAAGAAATGTGGACAGACAATAGATCTGTAAGGTCGCAGCTTCTATATTATTTGGCTATTTCAATAAAAAGTATTAAAAATGTGAGTAGTACTTACTGCTGGGCTTTGTCCTCTGGCGCTGGATCCGGCACGTCCCTTCGCGCGGAATTTGGCAATAGCCTGTTCGGCGAGGTCGGCACGTTCTTCTGCTTCTTCCAATTCTTGTTGTGCTTTACGGAATTTGGCCAAGTTAAGGGCCGCAATTTCTTCGGCTTCTTCGATCTGCCTCTTGTACGTCTTGATTTTCTGTTGGAGTTTGTCGACGAGGTCTTGCATACGTTCGTGGTTCTTGCGGTCTTCTTCGGCCTGGAAGCTGAGCTCCTTGATGCGACGCTCGGACTTCCTGAGGTTCTTTTGGGCATCGGCGTGCCTCCTCTGTTCACCGTCCAATTCGTTCTCCAATTCCCTGACGCGCTGTTCAAGCTTGGCGATGGCCTTCTTGCCTCCTTTAAGGGCGTTAGCCTCGGCTTCGTCGAGACGAACTTGGAGGTCCTTGATTTGGGTTTCAAGAGCCTTGCGCAGTTTCTCTTGGGTCTGGGCGTGGTCTTGTTCGGCGCGCAATTCGTCGGCGAGACGAGCGGCGTCAACCATGGCCTTCTTGGCCTTTTCTTCGGAATTCTTAGCCTCGTTGAGGAGTTCGTCGAGGTCGGAATGCAAGGTCTGGAGTTCGGTTTCCAATTTCCTCTTGGCACCAGACAATGAAGCGTTCTGGGCGGCGAGGTCGTTGAGTTGTTCGTGGGCATCTCCCAATTCTTGTTCGGCTTGGCGACGAGCACGGTCGGCCTGTTCCAAGAGAGTGCGGGATTCTTCCAATTCGTTCTGGAGGGCGTTGGCACGACGTTCAGAAATACCCAACTGTTCGCGGGCTTCATCGCGGGCGCGTTGTTCCTCTTCCAAAGCTTGTTGGGTGTCCTTGAGTTGTTGTTGGTAACGTTTGATGGTCTTCTGGGCCTCAGCATTAGCCTAGAATTAATAAATATTTTTGAATCATTTCAAAAATATCAAGAGTAATATTTTTTACCTTGTTGGCGTGGTCCAAAGCGATTTCCAACTCATTGATGTCAGCTTCCAACTTCTTCTTCATGCGAAGAGCCTCAGCCTTACCTTTAGCTTCAGCTTCAAGGGAGGCTTGCATGGAATCGAGGGCACGTTGGTGGTTCTTGCGGGTGTTTTCGAATTCTTCTTCTTTCTCTTGGATGCGTCTGTCGATTTCTTGACGGACCTGGGACAATTCCAATTGACTGCGGAGAACTTTGTTTTCTTCTTGTTCAAGAGCGGCTTCAGCTTCCTCAAGGGCGGCTTGGAGCTCGTCCTTTTCGGCTTCCAAACGCTTCCTGGCCTTTTCGATTTCGTGAATGTTACGGCCACCTTCACCAATTTGGTCGAGCAAGTCCTTAACTTCATCGGCAAGGTTCTTGTTTTCACGACGTACGGCTTCGAGTTGTTCCTGGCCTTCTTCGTAAGCTCCTTTAAGTCTGAACAATTCGGTGGAGTAGTTGCGGCATTCCTTCTGGCTGGCATCAAGTTCAGCAGCAAGGTCGTCAACCTTGAGTTTCCATTCTCCAATGATCTTGTCGAAGGCCTTTTGTTTCTTTTCGGCGGCGTTGGCGATAGCGTTGGCACGGTCGACTTCCAATTGCAAATCTTCGACTTCGGTGGCAAGACGTTGCTTGGTCTTTTCGAGAGCAACGACCTTCTGGTTAAGAGATTCGATGGTTTCTTCGGCTTCAGCAAGACGGGCTTGAAGTTTCCTCTTGGCCTCTTCAAGTTCTTCGGAGCGGGCGACACCTTCAGATTCATATTTCTGGCGCCATAATTGGGATTCGGCGTTGGCTTTGCTAAGTTGACGTTGGATGTCAGCTTTAGCTTCGGCTTCTTCTTCGACTTGTTCACGGATGTTGTCCAAGTCGTGTTCCAAGTTGCGGAACTTGCCCAAAAGAGTAGCGCGTTCGCGGCTTTCTTCGTCAGCTAACCTCTTGGTGTCTTCCAATTGGGTGGTGAGAGATACCTTAATCTTGCTGAGTTGAGACACCTGGGATTCGGCTTCTTCGAGTTGTCTGAGGAGGTCAGAGTTCTCGATGGAGAGCTTCTTCTTAGCGGCATCAAAGTCGTTGAGGGTGCGGTTGGTTTCGTCGAGTTTGCCTTGAACGTCGTTGAGGTTCTGTTGTAATTGTTTGGAGACCTTTTCAATGGCAGCCTAAAAAATAATATATTATAGTATATTTCCTTATTTACAAATAGAAATACACAAAAATTAAACATCAAGCGTTTTGGAGCATTTTACCAATAAGTTATGAGAAAGTATTAGCTGGCAAAGAGAATTAAGTTAACAAAATGGTAGTGTTCGAGTGGAAAAATCCAGACGAATAAAGCCTGTTGAGCGTAATCTCTTGATGTTATGCATCGCGAAGACACCTAAAAACATGATTAGACGGCTGAGTTAAGCGGCTGTCCCTTCAATACCTTTTCGTTGGCCAAGTGGTCGACGGAGGCACGGAGATCGTTAAGTTCGCCGAAGTATTGAGCCTTTTCTTTCTCAGCCCTAAATGGATAAGAGAGAGAGAACACTACATTTAACAACTATCTAAACACAAGGGGTACATTGGAGGAAAACTAAACGTATGTACAGTAGGTGCGGGTAAAAATAACAGATACAGAACTAGACCGGGACGTGCAAGGTTTCTAAGTACCTTCTCCCGTCCGACTTGGTCGACTGCACCGCGAGTTTGCTGGAGTTCTTGGTAAATACTGGCGCGGTCTCTTTCAGCCCTAGATTTATCATATTTATTTTAGTACTTTAGAATCTACTATACATATGAAAGGACGCTAAATCATTTTTTTCAAATGAAATATTGAAAACATTATAACATGTTTACAAAATACCTAGCTAACAATTGTACACTTACATTTTTTTTATTATATGATGTTTAAATTTATGACTTAATAGATTAAGTGTTTCAAGTTTAGGTGTAAAAATTATTGTGGTTAGGTATAAAAATTATTCATTTGTCCAAATTTTCCTAATTTAAAAATGGTATAAATATTTAGTTGCTGTAAGTTGTGGTTTAAAAATAACGATTGGCTATCCAATAAGTTAGCATTTAGAAAAAGAATTAAACGCTGTCAATAAAGAACAAGATAAATATCCACAGAATGATTAGATTAGGAGATAATGCTAACAGATTACCGGTTAGAAGTTTTAAAAATATTTTCTTTCTATTTAAAGGATATTGTTTATTATAATAAGATGTGTTTATTATGAGATAATTTTCTCTTCATTTTAAATCTAAACGGATTACCATGCTACGAATTACGCTACTTATATTATACGAATGCTTGCTTCTTATATTAATTTTTGAAGTAAAGAAATATTGCTTATTTTCATTGAATTATCTAATTATGAAATAGTTGAACGCCACTACTCACTCAGATATAGAATAATGAATAGAAGCAAAAATGCTGATTTAATTCCCAGTGATTTTTTTTTTCTTATACGTAAATACTATTTTAAAATGGCTGATTGTGTCGTGCAGCCATATCATATTTTAAATAGTCATCAATGACTAGCATTGCATATTCAAATAGATTTGATTCAGCACATGAATTATAAGTAGGCTTTCCAAACCGGGATCCCAAAATCCCGGAATTCAGGTGTATTTTTATCACGTAAATCCTGAAAATCTTGAAAAATTTCGATCTAAAATGATTCGACTTTATACACTTTAGTCTTTCAAAAATCATATTTTATTTATACTAAGCAGAACGTCAATATTTAAAAGTGTATAATTCCGTGTTTGCTATATTTTTTTGGCAATAAGAATTGTATTTTGTTTACTTACAAAATATGACCGTTACTCTGTTTTCTCTATTTTTGATAAAGTAACTAATATTCTTAGATTTAATGAAAGTATTCTACTTTTGAAAAAATTCTACTTCTTAAAATTATCTATTAATACTAAAAAAAGGAACTGTTTTCTTATATTTGTATTATAGAAATATTCATATACTAATAATACTCACTTAGCCTTAAGTTTGTTGAGTTGGTCGATTTGTTCGCCCATTTCAGAAACGGCATCGTTGTGCTTCTTGCGGAGGTTAGCGAGGGTGCCTTCGTGTTGGATGTTGGCTTCTTCCAAGTCGCGGCGGAGTTTGGCAAGTTCGGCTTCTCTCTTCTTGTTGAGCTCGATCTGGGCAGAAGTGGCACCACCAGCTTCTTCCAGACGTTCGCCCAATTCTTCCAATTCGCGAGCAAGGTCGGCACGTTGTTTCTCGGCCTTGGCACGGGCTTGGCGTTCGGCTTCGACTTCTTCTTCGAGTTCTGCAAATTAAAAACGATTTTGAGTTATAACTGGGGTAAATGTTGATCAGAGAGCAGTACCTTCAATGCGGGCCTGGAGTTCCTTGATTTGTTTCTGGGTCTTTCCAACAACGGATTGTTCGTCTTCGAGTTTAGCGGTGAGAGATGAGATTTCCTTGTCCTTGCGTTGAATGGTCTGTTCGAGTTCCTTCTTGTTGCGTTCCAAGTCGGCGACAGCTTCCTGGGTGAGTTTCAAGTCACCCTCGACCTTCCTCTTCGACTTCTCAACATCACCACGAAGTTTCTTCTCGCGTTCGAGAGAGTCTTCGAGCTCGTCCAAGGTCTGTTCCAATTTGGCTTTGACCTTGTTCAAGTGGTTGACCTTGTCTTCGGCAGCCTGGAGTTCTTCACCGATCTTCTGGCTGTTCTCACCAGTCAGTTTCTTCTCTTTGTTGAGTTTGTTGATGAGTTCGTCTTGGTGGGCGATTTCGTCGTTCAAGTTTCTGATTTGGTGGTCCTTGGTGGCCTTGTCCTGTTCGGATTTTTGGAGGTTAAGTTCCAAGTCTTCGATGTCCTTCTTGTAACCGGAGATTTCCTGTTCGAGTTTCTTCTTTTGTTGCAAAAGTTGGTTGCGGGAGTCTTCCTCTTGTCCTAAACGGTCTTGGGTTTCCTAAAAAATTACACGTATATATTAATAAACAGCAGGTTTAGTCGTGACTGGCTAAGTTAAGAAAAAACTTAAAATTTAAGTGAGGATGCAGTCAATAATCACCACGTATGCTAATAAAACTACTTTTTCATTTTGTCCAGCTTTCGAGAACGTCGATAGATGTGTATGTATTTTAATATTTTACAAAGAAAATTTCCTTGTGAATCCAATGTCCTATAATGTTAGTATTTAAGGCCTTATTGTGCAGAGGATGTTGTTTTGTTCATTAAATCATTCAAACTGGCCTGATGATGAGAATAAAATTCTCGAAAGCTTGACAAATTGAAAAAGAAGTTTTATTGTCCTACGTAGTGATTATTGACTGCATCCTCACTTAAATTTGACTCGACCCATATTTTTAGTTTATCGAATATTTTCGAAACAACCTAATCTGATGTTGAAGGAATATATGTCTTTTAATTAAATGCACTTTTATTGGATCCCGGCCAATAAAATGTTACAGGTATTTTTTAACGATTTCTAATCATCTTTGAACGCGAGCCAAAAATTATTAAAAATTAACAACGTTCAAACAAAATTTAACTAACGAAAGATATTATCGAAGGACGTGCTTCGTTTAAGGAGGCTCTTCGAAAATATTGAAAGTATTAATAGCGAAATGTATTTAAAAGAAAACAGTTAATGTTTACGTCATGGATTTTTATGCGGAGTGAGAAAATATACAACGGCACTCCAGACGCAACTGTTCAAACATTTTGGAAAATACGTCTAAATTAAAATTACGGTTTTTTTCTACTCGGATACTTAAAATTTGCCTAAAAAGTACATACCTGTAATTGAGATTCGAGGTCGTTCTTCTGGGCTTGGAGTTTGTTGGCACGCTCCTGAGTTTCGGAAAGGGATCCTTTCTCTCCCTCAAGGGTGGACAACAGCTCGGTCTTTTCGGCCAACAGTTTGGCGTACAAGACTTCCAACTCCTTCTTGGCTTTCTCTTCACGTTCGAATGCCTCCTGAGCTTTGGCAGCCTTCTCTTCCAGTTTCTGTAATTCGGATTCTTTTTGTAAGTACTCTCGTTCCAAAGCAACCATTTGGGGATTAATTTCGGGCGAACGGCGGGTCTGTTTGGGTTCTTTGGCAGGTTCGTCGGTTAATTCGGGTTCGGATTGTTTGCGTTCTTTAATTTCGGCAGATTCCTTAGGTTTTTTTGACTTTTTCGGTTTCTGTTCGTCAACGGGTTGCGTTTCTTGGGACTCTTGCAGGCCCTTCTCGTTTGTAGCCACGGATGCCATATCGTAAGAGAGGTAATGTGTGTCGAAAATGAGGATCGGATGCACGAAGGCAAGAAAAAAATGTGAATGAGCACCGTTCGCCTCGTTCCTGTGAACTGAACTAAGTCCGCAGTCGTGTTAGGGGGGGCGACACCAGTGGCGTGGGAGAAATATGAAAGATCATGGAAATATGCGATATGACCGACATAGTTGACAGAAATAGATGGAAGGGGGGCTATCAATTTTATATTTAGCAAAATCTAATACAGGACAGGTGATTTAATTTGTTACCGTAAAAAAGACGCTTCCATCGCGTAAACAGGCGGCTTCCAATACAGGTCAGGCTATTTACAACCGAAGTGGTGCGCTATTAATCTTCGGAACATTTTTGATCAACAGTCGGTGTACGGGATTTATTTTAGGAAAACGTGTGTAATGCACGCGAAAATTCTTCGGTTTTTCAAAAATTTTCTAAAATTAGGAAAGCATCCCGTCCGTCAGCGCCGCCGCTCGAAAAATGTAATTCGATTTTAAACATCGATAAAAGAACCCATAACCGTATTACTGATGGATAACAATCAGACGCGGTTAGGAAAAACGCGAAAAATAAATTCAATAACAGGCGGCTCGGGCTTAAGTTTGTTTACAAAAATTCGTCGTAAAATAGCCTCGGATATTTTCGGATAAAGTTTCTTTGATTTAAAAAAAAGATATTATTCAGGCGTGACTAAGAATCTTACGCAGAAACCGAGAAAAAAAAACACCGTCATAAATTGCCGTCTCCTAATTTAGGATAATGTATTTAATCCAGATACAGAAAATATTGCTAGAAAAATAGCATTAGTTTCTATTTACTGGTATTTAGATAGAAACCAAACAGACCTGCTATAAAAATCATTTCAAATTAGTACTAACAATTTCGATTTAGTTGCTTCTAGATTTTCGTAAGAAACGTCCATGATGTACTCAGTTTGTACGAAAATACTCTTAGTTCTTTAATCCATACTAAACAAGAAGAAATATCTATATCCTATAAATATCGACTAAAGATAGAGATTTTTAAAAAAACATAAAATAAATTTTACTTTAATTTAATTAAAATTTGCTTTAAAATTAATTAAAACACCATTTTTTTGAGTGGTAAAAAATAGATTATTTTAAATGTTTTGAGAACATTAAGTAAGTTCACATTTATAATATTAAATTTTAGGTATTACAGCAAGAACTGAAGGAAAAAACAGATTTCTTAAAATATTAACGGTTTGGTTTTTGGTTCATCTGAGATCAAAAAGTAAAAGTAGATAATTTGAAGATGTGATGATTTGAAGATTGATGATAAGACTACTAAAATAAGAACTGACTCAAAATCGTGAAGAATTCAGGAACATATTATATTTAATTCAACTTTATGGAATAATGTCGTAATTTTAAATTTTGATTTTAGCATATTTGGAGGTATCAAAAAACAACAAATACTTGAAGTAAAAAAGTGCCGTTCATAATAATTATCTTTCTTACTTCCTATATCCCTATATACAGGGTGAGCCTTAAATAAGTTCAAATATTTTCAGGGCTAGTAGATCTCGATAAAAGAAACATATTTTCTTTTTGTCGTTTTTCAAAGTCCAAAATAACCGAGTTATTTTACTTTGAAAATTAAAAAAAAATGTTTTTTTTGGTTAAATTTCGAGAAATACTGGATCTTTTCTGGGGTTTCTTATTTGAAAATTTAAGCTATTACCTATGCTGCCATATAATCATGAAAATATGTTTTTTTACTAAAATTAACAAAATTACCAAAAATATTTCAGAAAATTCCAAATTTTCAAAAAAAAAAATTTCGCAAAAAACTCAGTCGTGTTTCTGGGGTCAAAATATACTACACCCAAAAATATTTGCACTTATTTAAGACTCACGCAGTATAGAAGTTCAGGTTAAGTCAATCAATTATTGCCTTGCGATATTGAAGTTTTTTTTATTCAACACGGCTGTATATACAGGGTGAGTCTTATATAGATCCAAATATTTTCAGTGCTGGTAGTAGTATCTCAATAAAAGAAACATATCTTCTTTTTACCGTTTTTTCAAAGTTTCAAAAAAATGATTTTTTGCTTAAATTTTGAGAACCACTGGATTTTTTATGGGTTTTCTTTTTTGTAAATTTAATCTACTAGCTATGTTGCCATATTATCAAAAATAATTAATTAAATAATAATTGATTTTTTTTCCACAAATTCCAAATTTTTAATTTTTTTTCGCAAAAAAATCATAATCGTGTTTCTGGGGTCGAAATAAACTAACCCTAAAAATATTTGTACTTATTTATGACACACCCAGTATAGAGGAGAAATTATTGCGAGAAAGGTAATTATTATGAACGGAACTTTTTTACTTCAAGTATTCATATTTGATGTTGAATTAAAGTGTTTTTATTAGCCTTAAAATTCAAAAGTTTATTTTGAAAAAACTAAATAAAAATATAAATAAAACTTATATTCGATAGTAAAAAATTAGTCTTAGTCTTAACGCAATATTTCAAGATAAAAGGCGATAAAAGAAGTCACCAGACATTAATCTAGAGCAATATTAAATCGAAATAACTGTAAAATTGATAACAAAAAATTGAATTGAGTACTTACGGCGATCTCATCCTCGATACGGGTGACGTTGAGGAGTGGTCTGACCTTCTGCCACAGTTTGTACCAGGGCCAGGTCCTGAGCTTGAGGTACTTCCTCAAGTTCCTCTGGCACACTTGGAGGGCCAAACGTTGTTCCTGCAGCCTCTTGAACTCCTTTCTGGAGAGGTAACCTCTGATCCAGGATTGCATCCAGGTGACGATCTTGCTGAGACGTTCGTCACGAAGTTCCTCCATCTGACCCAAGACTCCGGCACGGAAGAATACCTACATTTTTGGAAAAGTTTGTTTGTTAGACGTAGCACTACGTGGACTGGAGCATCAAAGTTAGTCTTTCAAAGCAATAAGTATCTTAAGCATTGTGCTAGAGAAGTTTGAAGATTCTAAATTCGTCCAGAAAATATGTTTTACATTTTATCGGATTTTAATTTAAAATATACAGTTAAAACGTAATCAAGATTATCCAAAATTAAGTTTCTGGATCCAGAAATTTAAGTAGGTATATTCATTGACGCATGACTTTTTACTAAAAATATCTGTCTCAGTCTGAATACTTTCAAATTTAAATCAAAATAATTTTTACGCCAATTAAATTTTAAGATAAATTGGTAGTTATGACATTGGTATTTGATATATATTTTATAAAGTAAGTTTTATTAAATATACCCAAATAAATCCTAACCAAAACAGTGACACAAATATATACCAAGTGTTTTTCAAATGTGGCTTAACTTTTTTAGTTTTTCAGATAAATAAACGAGATTTGGTATGTTAGCAAATGACATATCTAAATGATTGATCGACATATTCAATTTGTGTTGTTCACTTCCTGTTTCACCAGAACACTACAACTTTTGATTTTTAAATGGCACCCTCGGTATTTGTTTACTTTATTTGATAGAAAATGGCATTCCGAATAGAATGACACATTATATGTCAATTTTTACATTTTTAGTTAAAAAATAACATTTTAAATTTCAATCTAGAGTGCCCAGCCATAAATCTAACGACAATTTGACTAGAAATACCAAGTATGTGAGTATGTGGTACCAAAATATTCGTAAAAAATGCTTTTTCAAAATGACAAATTTTGATTTTTAATTGACACCCTCGAATTTTTTTTATTTTATTCCATAGAAAATTACACTCTGAATAGAATGACATATCATATGTCAACTTTTGACATTTTCGCTTAAGAAAAAATTGTCTTATGAATTTCAATAGCTGTGTTCATACTGTTCATAACGATAATATAATTTGACTCGAAATGTCAAGTATATTGTACCAAATTAATCTTAAAAATGCTTTTTGCAATTGTGCTAATGAGCCCCCGTCGTCCATTTGAAAAAAAAAATTACCTAGTTGTGATTAATAATACGATTTGGACATCTAACCGACCCGGAAAATACACGAAAAGCATTAGACGATCAAATCTATTTTTCCAAAGCTTCTTGATTAAAAATTAATGGTTTTAACAAAGTCATAACACTCTAGATTGAAATTTAAAATGCTATTTTTTTAATTGAAAATGTCAAAAGTTCACATATGATAGGTCATTTTTATTCAAAATGCTATTTTCTATTTTATAAAATAAAAAATATTGAGTACCATTTAAAAATTAAAAGTTGTAGTTATTTTCGGTGAAACAGGAAGAAACCTAAACTAACTTAATACGTCAATCATTCCCGATTAATGTCACATACTAACATACCAAATTTCGATTTTTGATTTGAAAAAAATAAAAAAATTTTAAGAGTGAACTTTCACTTTTGAAAAACATTCGGTATGTATAAATAGAAAAATACTAAATTGACGTTTGCAATAACTAATATGTTTTAATTAATCTTTTACGTGCAGTACACATTTTCTAAATAATTCACTAATAGCAATATTAACTGATGCTGCAGCTTAACTATATGAAAAATTCAATGAGAAACAAAAATGGTGTAATAGTAAAAAATATAAAAAAAGGTTTAAACTTCAAAAATAATTATATTTTTTGTTACTTCTGTATTTAAATTTTAATTTTTAAAAGCATAATAATAATAAGCACATGTAATTAACTGCTTTTTAACAAGATTGTATAAAAGTAAATTTACTTAAAAGAAACATAAATATGCTCTTAAAACTATTACAAATCATTATACAACGCTTAAACAAAAAACAGGCATCAGTACTAAACAAAAATCCAAGCAACAAAAACAAACAAAGCAAGTAAAACCTTTGAAGTATGTGTTTAGGTTCTACCTTGGTTTTTCCCAATCTGTATTGTTCTTTTTCAAGAGCGATACTGTCCAAAATCACTTCTGCAGCTTTTTCAGGGGTCATGCTGTCCTTGATCAAACTTGCGGCCAGAATTTTGTATCTGATTTACGCAAGAAGTCAAAGTGTTATTTACATTTGTACATAGGAAAAACATTGGAATGGGATGGTGAAAGCACGGTTTACAATATTCCAATATAGTCATAGTATTTATTGGAAAAGGTAAACCTTGTTTGTATTGTTTATATTCACACTTACGTCATCAATTGTTCTTATTATTTTAAATTTATTGGTAAAATACATTGATAACGTAAGCTTATTTTTTTCAGGAGATAGTAATGAAGAACAACTTGTCCTAGTAGCTGTTCTACACAAACACAAAACATAATAAAAATATCAACTCATTCATCTACTGTGGCTTCAATCACAGTATTTTAGGTACAAAAACAATAAATAAAACATCAAACAAACAAAAAAATAAATCCCGGAACATGCCTTAGTGTGACCAAGACGGTACAATTCAGGATCAAGACTGGTGGATGACAAGATGACGTCGGCACACTTTTTAGGGTCGGATTCTTTGGACGCTCCAGAAGGATTCAAGATTTTATAACTAGACAAACACACAGGTACGGTAAATTAATTTACAATAAATATACAGTACGAACGTAATAATTTAGGTCATAAAACAAACGCAATTTTCAGGGTCCTCGACAATTAAACGAAACATTACATTTTTCAACATTCAAAAAACGAGATATGTACAAGGAGCAGACTGACAAAGAAGGACAGAACAAGGTTAAGACCGCCTTGCCTTAGTATGCCCAACCCTGTAGCTGTCGGGATCTAAAGCGATTTCTTCTAAACACTTTCTAGCAGCTTCTTTGGGATCTTTTTCTTTTGCCATAGTAGCCGGAGCTAAGATCATGTAACTAGATGGCATAAAAGATGTAAATGAAACACTATTAAACAAATGTTTAAGTTTCCTGTATCACTTAATTATTTTATTTTGATATTTTTGTCTTTTTTTTCCTGTTCTATTTAGATAATTTTTTGAGTTCTATTTTTACAAGTTTGAATCAGAATAGAGCATAGATGTATTAAGCCTTATTCAGAACTTCGGAGTTAGTAGAGTAAATTAGTGGTTTCAATTATACTTTATACTTAAAAATGTAGGATCATTAACAATGTGAAAAATACAATTAAAATTAATAAAATATCCTTATTGTAGTCAGTTGTAGCTGTATCTGTAGAGAATTGATCTTGACGGATGATCAAAGGCAAAAATGATATTACGTGTAAATTTTGAAGTATTAGCCTGGGTTTATATGCATCCGTAATGCGTCATCCGTCGTTGATTTGATGCAATTTTATTGGTTTATTTGAAAAATGACAGATCATACTTAAATATGATTGGAGTGACGAAACAACGGACGACTAATTACGGATCCATATAAACTCACCTTTAAGCTTGATTTGCTTTAAGCTTGATACATCCGTTATACGTTGATACGATGGTCCGACGGTGCTTTGATTGGTCATAGGGTTTTCGCGCCACTTTTCATTCGCAAATATTTTACTTTAGCCCGTCAATGGACCCGTTCATACGATAACGGACGTTTTGACACTTTTTTGACAAATTTAATCTAACCTTAATAAAAATATAAGTAAAATAGCAAAATAGTTATGGAAACGAAAATATAAAATGACACCAACGTATATATCCGACAAACGGAGGCATGAAAATGTAATAAACTTAAAAACTGCGTTATTTTCTAACCAATCAAAGTCTTCAAATTTTACCAATAAAATTAATATCGTATCAACGTATCGTCGGATAACGGATGCATCAAAATCAAGCTTAATTAGTTAGACAAAAATTAAAAGTTGGTTAGATTTTTCTACTAATTGAAAATTACTACCACTAATTTTGACGGTTTGAATGCTTACATTGAAATTAGAGGAACAAACTTCTACGCTAATGCAAACCACTAATTTGTTCCAATAATTTCGAGGTTCTGAGGCTTTACTATTTTTTAATTTTCTGTTTCAGTTGCAAAGGTAGCGATATTTTTTATAAATATTTTATTATCTCTTGTAAAATATTTGAATCTATGTCCATTACTTGTTGACATTACACTCAGATGCAAAAAAAACGCAACGTGAACATTTTTGGTCAAGTTTTTAAAAGTTATATTTTTTTATTTTTAGCCCTGTTTTCTTGATTTATTTAGCAAACTCTATATAAATATATCAACTTTAATTTGTAAACTCAGTTTATTATAAACTTTATTTAGTATTTGACTTGTGGGTAGACTGTGGGCATTTGACTTGTGTTTAGTATTTGACTTGGGTTAATCAAAGAGTTGTTTTTTACTCTATTTTGAAAATCCTGTGCAATAATTTCGTGAGCACATTTTCCTAAAACAGTATTTTTCGGTCAGAACCATGGCTAAATGAATTTGCCACAAACATTTTGCAATTTTCTCAATTATTGTACTTTTCGATGTTATTCTCATAATGACGAGGTGGATTTTGTGATTATTTCCCTCATCGTGAAAGGGACCAATCACCTAATTTAATTTTTCGAATAAATTTTGTTTAGATAAGGGATTAAATCCCAAGACTAGTTTAACCGCGATTATTTTTCCGGCTTCCTTTTGGGTTTTCTTCTTGTCGTTTATCACTAATTCTGAGAGGTTTTGGCAACAGTTCATTTAAAAACATTGATTTACAACTCATATGTATGACCTAATAACGATTTTAATCGGTGAAAACCCCCTTTTCGATATTATTTTTAACAAATAAGTGGAGAAAAATAGGTCAGAATTTGATATGTTGACATGCGAAACGGTCCTCGATGCATTGTTGGGATGCGTAACCAAGGTAGCAGAAGCACAAACATGACTTACGAGACGTCATTTTGAAAATGTTGTCCGAAAATATTAAATTTTATAGATAATAAAATTCTTATAATTATTTAATTCATCCTAAGCCATTCGCTTCATTCTAAGTCATTCAGGAAATAATCTAGCCGTATATCACTCAACCTATAAATTTAACTGATTAAACTATCCAAATAATTTTTTGCATGATTTTGCTTTTTAGAAAATAGTATCATGCACAATAATTTTAGAATAAAAACCCTCGCCCGCTTCTGGTTTTTATTAAATTATTGTGCATTCAACAATTTTCCAAGCAAAATCACGCGCAAAATATATTTGAAGAGTTTAATCGATTAAATTTATAGGTCTCGTGATATAATATATGATTATTGTTGTGTACGATATTCACTTGGTCCTTAAAGAAGAATGGGAAAACATAACATAATCTACTTGCAGCTTCATTAACATTATGAACAGCCGGGGGAGGCAATACAAAGTATTAGAGTATTTTTAAGTTTTTTGTTTGTTTATACACTTAGTTACTACAGTTATTTTTTTTAAATCCTTAGTTCTTTTAGTGTTACCCTTGATTATGGGGTGTTACGAATATTTATTAAAACCAAGTCTGTATCGTTACATTTTAACGTTTTTTTTTTAATTTTAATATAGAGTTCTAATCTGTGTCGACATGACATTAGGACAATAGCCACCAAAGCCACCTCGTGATATCAAAAAACAACATCATAAAGTAATGATTGAAAAAATTGCATGGTTGGTGGCAAGTTTATTTCGCTCTTAAAAATTAATCAAGGGATGTGTTGACATGAGCCAAAAAACAAAAAGCTCAGGAGACATGGTTCTGACAGACAAACAATGTTTTCGGAAAAGTCACTCACGAAATTATTGAACAGGGTGTTTTAAAGTTAGGGTAAAAAACAACCCTTCAATTAACTCTGTATAATAAGCCAAATACTAAAGTTTATAAAAAAACTGAGTTTATGAATTGAAGTTGATATATTTATATACAGTTTGCTAAAAAAAATGATGAAAATAAGGCTAAAAGTAAAAAATATATAACATTATATTTATGTTGATGAAAAAATGTTCCAATGAGTGTAGTTTCTTTAAATGTAATTTAAATTTTTTGATCAAAACTTACCGGAGTTTGAAGTCAGGGTAGACCATCCTGTTGGGGAAACCTTTACGACAGATACGGATACCTTCAAGTACACCGTTACATGTCAGCTGGTGCATTACCAAGTGGGAGTCAATGACACCAGGTTGTTTCAATTCGTTGGGGATGATACAACGGACGAAGTGAGGTTGAGTAGCTCTCAAGGTGGACATCAAGTTGTTCAATTGTTCCTATATACCCATAAAAATGTTTAAACGAAAAGGATATTATAATGCATTAAACTTTACTGAAGTATTGCTCTTAAGGACTTCAGTAAATGAAAACGTTAACATAAGTTTTAATGTATTAATATTGGTTAGTATCAAAAACAGCCTAGCTGCGAGGATACAGCTCTAGTATTTCAGAATGATTAGTGTTTTAAACAAACGTGAGTATAATATCATGTGTGGCCATTTTCAGTATTACAATGGTTACACAGGTTTAAGTCAAACCTGTTTATATGAGTTAATTACATTTTTTTTAATTCCAATACTGGTCTTTGGTGTTTTTTTGCCAGCGAATTTAAAGTAATGAAATATTTCAACCCTGAGGTGTTTTGGGCAAAATATTTAAAGTTAGTTGATGATTTAAAGATTTTTTTTATCGTGTAATTGAAACCAGCGACAAAAGTATTTCTTACGTCTGGTCCGGATGCCATACACAAAAGAGTTAAAAACGACATATAAAATTGAATTTAGAGGTGCTCCTTTGTTGTTTCAAGAGGGAAGACAACCTATAAAAACACTTTTAACAAATGACAACGTTCTGTAAGGTAACAGTATTTGAAACGTCAGTGGATGATCAAAACAGAACAATTTCAGGCCAATTAAATTTCTTTTAAACGTACCTTGTAGGCAGAAGACACGGTAGCAAAGCCACCACCCTTCTTACCACGACCACCTATAAAACATGCGTATATATAAAGCTTCAAATTTATTAATGAGTAAGTAGCTTATTTTCTACTAACGGGGAAGGAATTTGAGCGGGGGTTGAGGCAAAGTTGAATGGTATTATAAGTTAAGAAAGGTAATAGCTCTGAGCTCAGCGTCACGTGAGATTATTCAGAGTATTTACCCTGTACATAGCTGATACAGTCTGGAAGGCGGAACCCTTGGTTCTCTTCGCCCCTAAATTAAATAGAATTATTATAATGTAAAAAATGAAGACGTTGAAGATACAGTTATACAGGGTGGCGCATCTCAAACAACGCATTGGCTTCAAGGGGAACGGTTTATATCGAAATGAAAATTTGGTAGCATATGTAGGTTATTTCGGAGCATTTTTTGAAAAATAAAGAGCAGGATGTCTCCAAAAAAGTTATATGTGAAAGTTGTTTTTTTTTGTAATGGAATACCCTATATATTAATTCATTTTTGGATTCTAGAAAAAAAATAAAGGTGAGTTTCATTAAAGAAACATATGCCTAAAATGTAAGGATTTTGACATATTTCACATTTTGTGAAAATGAGGAATAAATTTTAAATTTCAATAACAGTAATTTACACTGTATAGTCTGATATTTAGTTTTTTAATAATCTTTTTTAATATCTTACTTTATTTAGCATTAAAATAATCGTTGTATGTTAAATCAAATTAAAATTTGATCCGGTAAGCTATAGAGGGTGAGACAAAATTAATATTGAATATTGGGCACTTTTAAAAGCAAGTTACTCCTTTATTTTAAACACCCAGTATGTTATTCCGATATTCAATAGAGAATTCATATATCTTCAAAATACTATTATGGTTATCTACCCCTTAGATAAAGATTTTTCTAGATATTTTCATTTTTATGATTTTTATTATTTTACACAATCTAGGTGGCTCTGATAAACCTTTTCTTATTTCCAAAAATTAGCTAGATGAAATCAAAGCTTCAAAATGCTTCTTTTTCTCTTCACTGCATAAAATGATTCTTTTTCAAAGATCGTTTCGTGTAAGAAGGCATATGTGGAGTTCTATTTCGAAAAGCAGCCACAATAATTTCTCTCATGTTGTCGACAATAGTTGGTCGAGTTTTGAAAACACTGTCAAATAGACCTCCATGATAAAAAATCGAGACTAGATAAATCTGGAGCATTTGAATATTCTATTAGTTGGTGAATGCACACTACAGTCACCAACTATTAGAATCATATCAATTCTCTCTGATGTAGGATGTTGAAAGTTTCCATTTTTGACAAATATCTGAGATTTTTTTTTGTTTTAACTGATACAAAATAAAAACTAGTTGTTAAAATTGAACTAATGTGGCAGCTATGTTGAAGTAACGTTATACATATCACAACTATCTAGATTTTATCAAATAATAAAGATCACACTAAATCATAAAAATGGAAATATCTGGAAATTTTTTTCTTGGATACAACCAATAAGTATTTTGAAGAATAAATTCCCGATTGAATATCGCAATAATATACTGGGTCTATTTAAAATAAAAGAGTAGCTTGCTTTTAAAGTTGCAATGTTCAATATTAATTTTTTCTTACCCTGTATGACTCTTTAGACCAAGTTTTAATTTGATTTAGAGTACAATAGTTATTTTAACTAATAAAAGATTCCAGTTTAGGTAGTTTTATTGAAATTTAAAAAATCTTGCATTCTACTCATATAAATGTTTAATGAACACACCTTTATTATTCTTCTAGAATCCGAAAATCAGATAATATAAAGAGTGTTTCAATACAAAAAAAATCATCTCTATATTTTTAAGAGATGCTCTAAATTAGCCTACCTAAGCTCACAAAATCTCATTTCAATAGAGACTGTCGTTTTCCTTGGAGCCTCCGCGTCGTATGACGGGCGCCACACTGTATAAGTTTTAAAAATATAAAATAGGACTTGATGGGGAAATGAAATGCAAGGATATATCTTTTTACCTTTGCCACCAGCATCTTGACCACCAGATTGACCGGGATGGTCAGCGAAGATTTCGCACAACAATTTGTTGGTACCCTTCTTGAAGAGATCGACAACAGTGTCGTTCAGGGGGTCCTTGTTCTTTTCTAACCAACCAGTGATGTTGTATGGTACCTAATTTAAATGTGCTTATAAATTATCAGTTTACTAAAAAGTTTGGCTTTAAGCTACTTACATTACCGGCGTAGTGACCCAATGTGAAGTGAGCGGCTTGCTGGCCTGGTTTTGGTGGTTTGGGCTTTTGGAAGTTGGGTGATTTACCCAAGTGGTTGGTGTTCAATTTTTCAACGAAGGTTTGGTCGGTAGCCTTGGGGAACATAGATTCTTCTTCAAGGATGGACAAGATACCCATAGGCTATAGTTAGGAATAATATTCAGTTAGTATATAATACAACGCTAATGCCATTAGTTATATTTCATTTTTACTCTACCTTCATAGTGCCTCGTGCGAAGAAAAATTAAGATTTATTTTAACAGTTAACTGTGCATATTCTATATGACCTAGTATTATATATACAGGGCGACTAGGTGCTTGCATAAAATGCCATAACTTTAATTTAAGATTTTTTAATTATGGTTCATTAGTACTTTGGTCTTCCACACTCAGATGCAAAAAAACGCAACGGAAACATTTTTGGTTAAGTTTAAAATTTTATATTTTTTTAAATTTTTTAGTCCTTGATTTTGTTAGCAAATTGTATAGAAATATATCAATTTTAATTCGTAAACTGGTTTTATTATAAACTTTATTATTTGACGTATTATACAGGGTTAATCGAAGAGTTGTGTTTTAATCTATCTTTAAAACACCATGTGCAATAATTTTATGAGCAAATTTTCCTAAAACATTATTTTTCAGTAAGAACCATGTCTCCTGAATATTTTGTTTTTTGACTCATGTCAACATAAGCCTTGATTAATTTTTAAGAGCAAAATGAACTTGCCACAAACATTTTGCAATTTTTTGATGTTATTTTTCATAATAACGAGGTGGTTTTGGTGATTATTGTTGTGTACAATTGGCCAATATTTGCTTGGTCCTTGAAAAAATATGGGAAAATATAACACAATATATTAGCAGCCTCATTCAGAGTATTTTTTACAATTTTTTTGTTTGTTTGTACACTTAATTGTTACAGTTATTTTTTTTAATATCCTTAGTTCTGTTAGTGTTACTAATATTTATTAAAACCAAGTCTGTATCGTTAGCTTTTAACGTTTTTTAAAATTTTAATATATGATATAACAATTAAGTGTCGATACGATTATGACAATAGCTACGAAAGCCACCTCACGTGATATTAAAAAGTAACATCATAAAGTTTAAATGAGACTTGAAAAAATTGCAAATTGGTGGTGGCAAGTTCATTTCGCTCTTAAAAATTAACCATGGCATGTGTTGATATGAGTCAAAAAACAAAATGCTCAGGAGACATGGTTCTGAAAAATTCTATATTCTATATATTCTGAAAAAATAATATTTTGTTAAGTTACTCACGAAATTATTGCACAGGGTGTTTAAAAGTTAGAGGAAAAACAACCCTTCAATTATCTTATATCGAATTAAAGTCGATAGATTTATATACAATTTTTTAAAAATTTCAAATATTCAAAATAGGGCAAAGAGTAAAAAAATATAAAACTTTAAACTTGACAAAAAAAATTCCTTTACGTTTTTTTTCATCTGATATATATATAGTATAATCTATCTTACTTACGTATAAGGTATGGAATATTGTGTTTTACTTATTTATTGGATGAAATATGTTTAGTTGTACCAGGCACATTTGAAATATTAATTTTCGGACAATGATAAGAACATAAATATTAAGGTCTGTAACAAACTAACAAACCGTTAAAAACTTAAGATATTTTACTAGACACTATTCACCCTGTATATATGTAGTGTAATCTACAAAGGGGAGATTCGTGCATTAAAATATAAAAAGAATACTACGGAAACTCGACTTGAAACTACCTTTTCGATCAAATCGATACAAGGTTGTAAGTCCAAACCAAAATCAATAAAATTCCAAGGAACACCTTCGATTTTGTATTGTTCTTGTTCCAAAATGAACGTGTAGTGATTGTAATATTGTTGGAGTTTTTCGTTCGAATAGTTTATGCACAGTTGATTAAAGCCGTTGTACTGTAAAAGTTAAAAGTTAGTTATCAGTTAGAATGAAACACCAATATTTCAACCCTAACACTGGTAGGGATGGGTTAAATCCACTTGGTTAAACGTTAGTTACAAAACAAAAAGCATAATCAGTTCTTGGGAGTAAAGGAGTCTCATAGTATAGAAAATTATGTCAGTTAAAAATTGTTAAAGTTTTAAAAGTTACATTGTTAATATTTATTTCCTTTATAAATAAATATCATTGCCATTATTCGATTTGGTTAATGACTGATTTTATTTTGTAGTAGATTTGCCTATAAGTTATTCTAGTCAGAGTGTATTATTATGGCACCTCTTTATTTTTTATAGCAGTTAAAATATTAAATTTTAATCTAATTAAAATGAAAATCTAAATATTTAATCACTCGTTAAAGAACGTAAAATGAAACGTTTCTAAAAAAATATTTCAAAAATGTTAAATTGTTAATTTTATGAAAAGAAAATTAATTTTAATGGATTAAAGTTAATTATAATTTCGATTTATGGTTTAAAATCGTTAACTGTTGTTTATTGTATTATTATGAAAGGTTGTAAGTTGATAAATTATCGATAGTCGAAGAAGCACTCGCTGTTATTATTTTTTGAGTGCAATCTACCTTTTCGATAAGTTCGATACAGGCAGCTAAGTCCATACCGAAATCGATAAAGGCCCATTCGATACCTTCGCGTTGGTATTCTTCTTGTTCAAGTACGAACATGTGGTGGTTAAAGAACTGTTGCAGTTTTTCATTGGTGAAGTTGATACAGAGCTGTTCAAAGCTGTTGAACTACACATAAACAGACAAACAAACAAATAACTACATGTGCTTCCAGCTATTCAACGACCTGTACATACGGTGGAATGCGCTAGAAACACTTGACATAAACAATCTAAACACAAAAATAGGCGTCGTTATATACTGAAAATAACGCTGAATCGGTTACACTGGATTAGCCACTTATGACATTGAGTTGCTGCAGGTCCCCAATAAAAGGCTGTCTCAATTACCTTTTCAATCAACTCAATACAGGCGGCCAAATCCATACCGAAATCGATAAAGGTCCACTCAATACCCTCAGTTTTGTATTCTTCCTGTTCGAGTACGAACATGTGATGGTTGAAGAACTGTTGCAGTTTTTCGTTGGTGAAGTTGATACATAGCTGTTCAAAGCTGTTGAACTGGGAGTAAAAACTACGTGAACACAAACACAATCTGATTCACTTCCCTGTTACATGGGTGGAATCTTAAAACACTAATAACTTTTTAAACTCATGGTTTAAAATTTTGATCGAGGTACTCTGCAAGACCAATATAATATAAACTATATACAGTGAAGCTTAGTCCCATCATCACTTCCTACTCAAATACAGACACCAAACGTGGGAATCTAACCGCGGGATACTTTTACCTTTTCAATCAATTCAATACAGGCAGCTAAATCCATACCAAAATCGATAAAGACCCAATCGATACCCTCAGTTTTGTATTCTTCTTGTTCTAATACGAACATGTGATGGTTGAAAAATTGTTGAAGTTTTTCGTTGGTGAAGTTGATACACAGTTGCTCAAAACCGTTGAACTATACACAAAACATATTTAACATACATATCTAATTGAAGCCCTTTTACAGAGCCCTGTAAGGAGATTGCATACATACAGACACATACACACGAACATGGATGTATGGAACAACTGTTTCCTCGAGGAGTAATCCTAGTATCTCGATAGCAAAGCCTATGCCAAAGTAAACAAACACTCAGTTCATGTCGTGTGGTAGTTGACATTTGCTGCCTCTTTTTGTTTGCATCATTAATGCTAAGCGGTTTTTGTACTATCAGAATAAGATTGGATGTTAAGTGGAAAGAGGATAGCATGCAAAAAAGCTTACCTATTTTCTTACGTTTTAAGCGTGTAATAGAGTGCAATTGTTATTAAGCATATCTAACCTTTTCGATTAGTTCAATACAAGCGGCCAAGTCCATACCAAAATCAATAAATTGCCAAACTATACCCTCTCTAGCGTATTCTTCTTGCTCGAGGACGAACATGTGATGGTTGAAGAATTGTTGAAGCTTTTCATTAGTAAAGTTAATGCAAAGCTGCTCAAAGCCATTATACTGTTTTTTGCAAATAAAAAAAATCTATTAATAAAAAATAATAAAATATAAAGCAACAAGCTATAGCTATACCAACCACCTTCAGTTTTATCTATTCATCATTCATACTATTCGCCATTCAAGTACAAAGTATAATTATTTTACTTATAGCTTTAAGTTTATACTTATACTCTTTAATAATTTATTTAAATTTAAATTGATAGAAACATATAATTTTAAAGCTGTAAGTTTTATAGCTGAAAGAGAATTGTAAATAAAATATATAAATGTTTCCACCATGTACAGGATTAAGTAATAAATGTTTGTATAATGTATGTGAAAGTTTTTGAAAGAGGTTTTCAAACTTACGTCGAAGATTTCGAAACCAGCAATATCCAGTACACCAATGAAGTGTTGTCTCTTCTGTTGGGTGTCCAAAGTTTCGTTACATTTTTTGACGAGGAACTTGAAAAGTCTGTCAAACATGGCCTTTGACATGGCACCAACGGAGTAATTGACCTGGTTGACGTTACGACCTTGGGTGACGAATTCGTTACCGACCTTAATCCTGGGCTTGACGAATGCGGTGTACAAACCCTGGGCGTCAATTCCCAACAGTTTGGCTACTTTTTCACCTTCCTATGGCACAAAAATTGTTATAGTTATGATAAAACTTTTTAGTTCGATTTTTCGTTTTTTTTAATATACTCACAGCAGTACCATCACTTTCAGCCTGTTCTTCGCGACCTCTTTGTTTGAATTTTAGGGTACCCATGTGCATGACAGCGGCGGTAATCTTGTAGATGTTATCCTTTTCTTCTTGAGTGAAACCAAGGATGTCGAAGGCTTCCTACCGTTTTTTAAGAAAATCATTAGTTTGTGGCACACACGAAATAAAAAGCACCTTCAAATATACCTGATTTTAAGAGTGCTTTTTTAGAAATTTAAACACGTATTCACATCACTAACCAAGTGAGTTATTCATGACAACAAGCTACAGAAAATTAAGCGTTAAACAGTTACTTAATGGGGTTCGGATACTAAAAATATTTTTTTAAGACACGATACTTGGTCTATGCAATACACATTTTTGGTTGACAAATACACTATTTTGAAAGGAAGTTTTTTTAAACGTTTTTTACGAGAGAAAGTGATAAAACGATACATCACAATAAGAGACTGTTACATAGACATTAACATGACTTACGTCCGTTGCCAACAATTCTTCATCGTCATTTACGTTAGGAATTGTAATTTTACCCTGAGACACGTAGTTATACTCATAAATATCGTCAACCAAGAGGCACATGCCTGTCAAAAAAAAAATGTGTAGTATAGATATGGTACACGCATATCTAAGAGAAAAAATATCATATCCTGAACCCGTTCAGAACCATGGCAAATATTTCAGAGCCAAAAATGCCTAGAGCAGTATAAAAAAAATAGATAAAAACAGTGTAGATTATAGATTGTAAGAAATTATTTATCTTACACACTCACCGGCACGAAAAACTTAAAATTTTCATGTATTTTAAAGTTTTATATATTGTGTTCTAGTGGACCGATTTTGATGATTTTTTAAGCAATTTGTAGCTATATCATTTAACTTTTTAGTATATCTTTCTAAATTAAAAATGAAAGTTACCATCTGTCAATTACACGAGGAAAAACAAAATGTTGATATTTTGGTGACTGTTTGAAACACCCTGTGGAGTACGTTAACAAAGCATGGAATTTAAAAATCATCTTATCATCTAAGTCAGGGTTTCTTAAAGTGTGGTCCACGGACCCCTTAGGGGTCCATAGCATATGTATCAGGGGTCCGCGGTCCGCATTACGCCATTTAACTGTAAACATATTTATTAAGAAAAGAAATAGTGTAGGGCGGCGAATTCACTAGGTATTTAATCACTTAGCACTAAGCGATGCGCCTAAAAAAAACGGGCCACAGATTATACGATTTATCGTACTACAAGTTGTACAACATCAAATCGTTTCGACCGTTGGATCAATGGTTGGATAGTTAGTGGCTTTGTAGTACTACTTGTAGTACGACAAAGTCGTATCGTACGGAAGTATGGCATGCAGAAAATCTGTAGTACAACGCAGTAGTATATACGATAGATTTGATGGTTTGTGTGCAAACCCTATGTGTTTTCATTGCACATGGTTAAACAATCTCTTAAAAATGGATACTAACGAGAAGTTTTGGGCGGAATTTATAGAAATTTATCATAATCAACCTTGTTTATGGGATGTGAAAAGTATAAGGAATACCTAAATAAACAAAAAAGAAATACCAGTTATGATATCCTACTGGAAAAATTAAAAGAAATAAAAGCAGATGCTACAATAGAATTCAAAATGAATGGAAAATAAAACTACTACTTGTTGGTGATTACCATCAAATGATAGTTTTAGTTAGTGAATAAACGCGGATCCGATCTGTCGTTCCAGCGGTTGTATCAGCTTGTCGTACGACATGTAGTACGACGAATCGTATTAATGTGTGGCCCGTTGTAGTTTAAGTTTGTGGACAACAGCGCGTCCGATATGTCGTTCAAACGGTCGAATCAAATTTGTGTTGTACAATCTGCAGTACGATAAATCGTATAATGTGTGGGCCGTTTTGAGGCTGTTATCATGATAAAAATTCATAGACACTAAATATTTTACCATTTGTACAATAACTTACATAACAATACAAATTGTACCTTGTACCACTCAGTTTTTTTGTAAATCTAAAATAAAAGCTACATACACCACAAAAGGTAACCCAGTGAGAGCGTTCTGAAAAAACTCTGTCAGGATTTTGGTTTGAGATCTTCAGTCCGATTTTTTTTATAAAGTAAAGCCAGTAAAGCCCATACCACATCCCGATTCAAACATAGTTTCAAACAAAAATTGTGTATTTTTTAATGAAATGCTAAATAGTTTTAAAAAAAAATAATAGGTTATGTTCAGATGTTTTTGAAATGACAAAAAGGTTTTTCACCGAACAAAATATAGACTGGAAGACTAAACTTGGTAGTATCTGCACCGATGGAGCTCCCGCAATGCTTGGTAATACGTCTGGTTTCGCGCCTTTGGTCAAGAAAGGGATCCCTCATGTCATAATAACTCATTGTATCTTACATCGATAAGCCTTGACTTCACGGACTTTACCTACATTTCTGAAGGAAGTTATGTGTGTCAAAATAATTAACTTCATCAGAGCAAGAGCCTTAAACTTTTACACCGCCTGTTTTTTTAAAAAAAGAAAAGATATATTAAACTTTAAAATACATCAATATTTTATCCCGTTTTTCGTGCCGGTGAGCATATAAAAGATGTTACTTTATTTTAGATTAAGTAATAGATAAAATAAAGTATGTATATTAATTAGCAAAAAGTTTCTGGAAAACTTATGTTAGAATAGTGCTGTATACATCTAGGCATTCTTGTCACCACGAGAAGCTGCAAACAATAAATAAAAATAACTAGGAAAATGCAAGTAAATAATATAGCGGCTGAAATGAATATACCTAAAATAAAGCGAGTGTAGTGTTATTATCAGTGAGATTCGTGCAGGATTAATTGAGATAGACTTACGTCTGTTATAGTCATCTCTTCTCCATCGTCAACAGACGGAATTTTAGTTTTTCCTTGCGACACGAAATGATAATCCATAATGTCGTTAGATAGCAAACATATGTCTACGGGAAAGGTTTTGTTTTAAAAGAGGCAGTAACAAGTATTGAAGTATTGGATACTTGTATATAGTTAGATACATATTTTGATGTCATTTCTTAAACATCAATAGTTCGTTTTTGGAACTTTTTTTGATGAAAAATACTGTTTTACAAACCTTAATTTACATACAAAACATACAAAACAATCATAGGTATTTAAACAAACGGTGTAAATTAAAGTTTGCAAATTGAAGAGGAAAATTATGAAACATTTGTATGGGAATCGAATGTCATATTTCGACTTGCCCAAACATAAATAAAACTTATGGGATACGTTAAAGCTGACAAAAACAAAGATTTTATCAAAATTTGACAAAAGATATTTTATTAATTTGGTTTTTTTTTATTTTTGGTTTAAATATTAGTCCAAGTAATTCCAATAAAATTGGTTATTTTAATTGGAATAGATTGATAAGTAACCAAACAAAAAACGTCTGCATTAATGGCCTTTTTTAATATTAATGACAGATGAGATTGGGTAACTCTAGTTTTTGCTTTTCTAGAAACGAAAATTTAAAACAATTATAACGGCATAGTTGCACTACTTGTTTTACATTTTTTTATAATATGACATATCGAAAAGTCCTTTTTTAAACTTGACAAATTGTATTTGAAACAATTTTCACTTTCACATTTGTTATCAACCTTCCTTATTTTGTCACTTTACAATAATTCCTATCATTTAACAATTTTTCAAATATTTTGATCAATACTTGTATATTAATTTCTATATATCGATGGAAAAATATTTAATAATCTGACATATTTTTTGGACTATCTTCACAAATATTTTGATTTTGTACTTGAAAACCCAAGAGTCTGCTTTATGTTATGCAAATGTTATTATTATTTATATTTGAGTTTTTATACCACCCCCATAACTTTTTTATTTTCTCAGATAAAAAAACGAGATTTGGAATGTTAGTATAGGACATAAATTAAGGTTTTTTGACGTATTTAGTTGTTTTTGGCCACTTCCTGTCTCACCGGAAATGACTACAAATTTTGATTTTTAAACGGCGCTCTCGATATTTTTTTACTTCATTTGATAGAAAATGACACTTTAAAAAGAATGACATATTATATGTCGCTTAATACGAAATCGTATTCTAAATTTCAATCTAGAGTACAATGGCTGTGTTAACATTTCTAATTTTTAATCAAGGAGCCTTGGAAAAATAGATTTGATCGTCTAATGTTTTTTGTGTCTTATCCTGGCCCGTTAAAAGTTGCCCAAATAGTATTTTTAATCATATCTCAATTTTTTCAATGAATCGAGGGTGACTTGGGGTGACGAGAATATTTGGGAAAATTGGTACCACACATTTGATATTTCGAGTCAAATTGTCGTTACATTTATGACCCTGGCACTCTAAATTGAAATTTAAAATACTATTTTTTTAATTGAATATGTCAAAAGTTGACATATGACATGCCATTCTATTCAGAGTCATCATTTTTCTAGAATAAAGTAAACAAATACCTAGGATATCATTTAAAAATCAAAAGTTGTAGTCATTTCCGGTGAAACAGGAACTGGCCGAAAAGAAATGAACGTCAATCAATCCTAATTTATAATGTTAGTTGATGAGGTATGTATCAAATCTCGTTTTTTATCTGAAAAAATAAAAAAGTTATAGGGGTGACCCACATTTGAAACGTACCCGGTATATCAATTCATTATACAGGGTGGTCCGAACTGTATTCCGGAAACTTCGGCAGCACATTCTGCAGATAAAAATAAGTAAAAAAGTTCGTATAAAATGTATGTCCTGAAATGTTTAGTTTCGGAGATACAGGGTGTAGAATTTTCATTTTTATTTCGATTTTTTTCTAAATAATTTCTGAAGCAACGTCAATATTTGGATGAAAATTGGTGCCTAGAAGTTTTGTGACACGATAAATTTGATTTTGATGTCAAAATGACTCTTATTTGTAGGGGGCGCCACCTACATGCGTTTTGACTGTTTTGAAAAGTAATAACTTTTCGTCTGTACCTGTATAAAACTACTAACTAAAAAAATATACATTTCCACGACTTTTTACGTAAAAAATGTCTCTTGGTAAAAATCGCTATGAACAACCGTTCTCAAGATATTTAGAATGGAAATAGTCAATACATGTCATTATTGACAAAAAAATAAGCACACGCTGAGTATTAAAGTCGTGTGTTTAATCCAATTCAACCAAAAATGTGACTTAGTGGATTTTCGCTGTACGCCCACGAGTTATTTGACTGAAATAATACATTTTTATGTTTTTTAAATTAATCATAATTTTTTTTGCGAAAAAATGATGATTAAACAGTTTCTCTTGAACTTTTGGCACATAAAGATTTGAAATTTATGATTTCAGTCTAATAACTATTTAGTCAGCATGTTAACGTAGTCAACAGAGTCAACATGATAATTTCGATTCCAAATATCTCGAGAACCATTACTCATAGCGATTTTTACCAAGAGACCTTTTTTATGTAAAAAAAGTTGTGAATGTATATTTTTTTACTAAGTAGTTTTATACAGGTACGGTTTGGTTTGGTTTGGTTTGAAAGTTATTACTTTTCAAACCAGTTAAAAAATATGTAGGTGGCGCCCTCTACAAGTAGGAGTTATATTGACATCAAAATCAAATTTCTCATGTCAAAAAACTCCCAGACACCAATTTTCATCCAAATATTGACGTTACTTCAGAAATTATTTGGAGAAAATCGAAATAAAAATGAAACTTCTACACCCTGTATCTCCGAACCTAATCATTTTAGGACATACATTTATAAGAACTTTTTTACTTATTTTTATCTGCAGAATATGCTGCCGAAGTTTCCGGAATACGGTTTGGACCACCCTGTATATCATCGAAATTTAATAAATCTACTGTTTTTTGTACAAACTATTATAAATAAAAAACTTTTACATAAAAAAGTACGTACTTGGGACAAACAAGTAATTATTAAGTAAAAGTGAATAATATATTAAGTAGTAGTACTAAAATATTCAAGAAATAGACAAAATATAAGAAATATAGTTCAGTTACAAAATGTTAAAGACAGAAAAAAAATGTGAATCTAAACAGCTTTTTCAAAAAACATTGGTCAACATATTAATTACAAAGGTCAATTTTTGACACTTTTAATAAGAAATTTAAAATATGACAAGTACACCCAGTGACACAAATTAATTTTTCGCTTTTATACAAGCAAAAACTAAAAGCATTACCTTAATTTAATCCATCTTAAACAATAAAAAAAAACATTTCGTGCACACATTTTCGGGGACGGAAGTTAAGTACTAAAAACTGTACTAAAAAAGAAATTTATTAAATAACTATTAATTAGTTTGGATAAAATCTACTTTTTGTCAGCTAAACAATGATTACTAAGTAGTACACTGAAGTATTGACGTGTAAACTCAGTCCGGCTGATAGAATGGGATCAAAACAAACACATATACAATCAAAAACTGATGCGCGATGACCGATCAGCCGATTCGCTTACATCAGTCAATCTCAACTCTTCGCCGTCATCGACATTTGGAATTGTGGTTTTTCCTTGAGCCACAAAGTTGTACTCTGAGATGTTATTAGACAACAGACAAAGATCTAGAAAAAAAGGAACACGTACAGGATTCGTTTGTATAGAACGAATTTCCCGTGGGCTTAAAACTATATCACTACAAAAGGGGGTCACACCGTTATTCAATACATATTCATTCAGTATCTCCAGCTCTTAGAGATTTATGAATTCGGGGGAATCACAGATAAGACTCAATCGCAGGCTTGTAGGGGAAAGGGGTCAAAATCACATTAAATAAATAAAAAATGGGCGAGCTTGATCTTTCGGCCGCTTACATCTGTCAATCTACATTCTTCACCATCGTCCACATTGGGAATGGTGGTTTTGCCCTGAGACACATAGTTGTATTCCATGATATCGTTCGACAACAAACACATATCTATAAAAACAAATAGACAAAGGACAACGTTAAAACGTGGACTGGGGTCTCTGGTTGCAGTGTATATTCAGTTGATTCTGTGCTGAACTATATATAAGAAAGAATAACAATGGACAGACAAAAAATCGCATGTATGTGCATCAACGTCACTTGTATATGGTGGGTCATAATATATTTAGCTGCTTTCGACTTGACAATTGCCTTTAATATTTTTGTTTTATATAGTGTGTTCTAGTGGACCAATTTTGATGATTTTTTAAGCAATTTGTAGCTAAATTATTTGACTTTTTAATATCTCTTTCTAGATTAAAAATGAATGTTGCCATCCTTCAATTATACGAGGAAAAAAAAAGAAAGAAGAAATTTAAAAATAATATTATCATCTAGATGTATCTTTGGTTCATCTCAATAGCTTCATTTTTTTGAAAAAAAAATCACTTTTGAAGACAGTTCTCATCGTCTTTCTCTCTTATTTTTACATTAAAACCATATCTTTGCCTTTGCTTCTAGTCAACAACTAGAATTATAAAATAGTGTGCATGATTTATGTAATGCCTGTCTTTGAAAACTCATAGTTTTATTGTCTGTTGGGCAATTACTCTAGCAGAGATGGTTTTAAGTCAAAAACTTGATCTCTATCATGATCAATTAACGCAGCAATAGAACTTAAAATCATCTCTACTGGAGCAAACGCCAATAAACAATAATAATTTAACTTTTCAATGACAGTAGTATTACAAAAACAATAAACACTATTTTATAAGTGTGTTCACGAGGACTCAAAAGGAAAGACATGCTTTAACTGCAAATATTGCTGTAAATTGTTACTGTCTTATTCAAAAGCGAATATCTCCAATAAAAAAATAAACTATCGGAAAGAAATGTACCTAGATGATAAAACACTTTTTAAATTCAATGGTTTGTTAATATATTCCACAGGGCGTTTAAAGCTTTCACCAAAATATTAACACATTTTGTTTTCGTATAATTGACAAATGGAAACTTTCATTTTTAATTTAGGAAGAAAGATTGTTTGCCTAAAAACTCAAATAATTGAGCTACAAATTGCCTAAAAATCATCAAAATCGGTCCAGTTTGGAAAAAATGGAATAAGCTCCAAACCATTATTCAAGTCGAAAGCATCTATTGTTTTAAATTCTGAATTCTATCAGATTGTGGGGGATCAGAAAAAATCAAAAATGTAAATAGAACGGGACAATCCTTGTCCCCTTACATCTGTAAGAGTGAGCTCCTCCGCATCATCGACGTTGGGGATTGTGAGTTTTCCTTGGGCCACATAATAGTAGTCCTTGATGTCGTTTGATAAACAACACAGGTCTAAAGTAAATTTGCGTAATTTATTTTATGTGTAAAACTGTATTTTTTCTTCGAATATTTGTGGGGGTTTGGAATAAAATGAGTTACTTACCCTTAATTCCTTTAACGGCACCAGACATGATCTGGTAGAAAATGTGGTAGGATCTTTCAAGAGATTGTTGGGAGATGACACGGGCCTTCTCCAGCAGATCTGTTAGAAAAAGAATATTTTAGAAACAAAGGACAGGTTTTGAGATGTTTAAAACCTCAGATTAAATATACTAAAAGATACAGCACGCTATCGCAATAGCATTCAAAATTTTGTGTGCTTTTGTTTATGAAAACACGTCTACCAATACAATAGTCTAGCCATAAAGAAACATTTCTTATGTTTAATTTTCGGGCATTTTAAACCAGGTATGTTTAAAGTGATCAGATTTTAAATTAGCTAATGAACATTTTTCAAGAAGGAAGAACAACATTTTTCAAGAATTATCATCAGCATTATGTAATTTTTCTATAAAAAGTTTGAATTTTGAATGACCTTCAGCAGACATTTATTTGGGCTAAACTTAAAAAAATATGGCAATTTTTTTAATTAAAACAAATTTAAGAATATATTATCTCTTACTGTTTTAACAAAATATTCGCCAACAATTTTTTAACAAATAATACGTTTGTCAAACATTTTTAGTAGAGATAATTGGAGGGTTCAGAAGTCAATCAGTGAAAGTCAATCACAAATTGCATTGAAATAATGAGGTTTAAAAAACAGAATTAAAAAAAAATGTCGTTCTTCCTTTAATCTTAGGGAAGATGCTGACGAGAAAAAGTCATACAAATTGACTTTTATTTTTTTAAACCCTGTTTTAAATCTGATCTCAATAAAATTGGTGATTAACTTACACTGATTGACTTCTCAACTCCAATTGTGTCTTTACTGAACCTGTCTAAAATTTATTAATCAATGAAATGATGTCCTTTCTGTATAAGCATTAGTCCCCGAAGACAAATAAAGAAAAATGCTAACACCTCCACCCATTTTATATCTAATTTTGTATCATAAAACAAGAATCACCTAAAATTTATAACGGGATGCCAATATTTATAACGATAGCTAACTATTCACAAAAGTGTACCGTTACAAAAAAATTGCGGTTTAAATTTTGGCGCCCAACGTGGGGTTTGCTTCCACTCATACATTTGAATTGATTAAATTCAACCGACCAATATTTGGACGGACAATGTTGAATGACGGAGAAATCTTGGGTAGACAGTCTGAATAACGTACTCTCTGTCATAATGACTTTAGGTATGCTGTATCTTTTCTATATTTAATCTAAGATTAATACTTACAAGTTTCGATATCAGCACCAGCCAATTTACCAGTGGGACCGAAGTGAATACGGATGAATTTACCCTAGACAAGGACAAATATTGTTATATTTCCATAATATACTTCTTAGAATTTCCTAAAGGTGGACATATACTTACGAAACGGGAAGAGTTGTCGTTACGCACAGTCTTGGCGTTACCGAAGGCTTCAAGTACAGGGTTAGTTTGTACGACCTGATCTTCCAGGGTACCTTTCTTCTGTTGTTCTTCAGTTGGTTTCTTGGTGGAAGCACCGACGGTGGCGAAGTACGCAATTACCTTTTTCGTGTTTTCAGTTTTTCCGGCACCAGATTCACCACTAAGTACCAAATACGTTTGTTAGCATATCAGTTTTAAGAAAAATGCTTAGAGTTAATTTTATTGTCATCAGATTTGCTGACCAGTTCACCAGTAAATCTTTCTGATCACATTCTAGATTCAGCGGCACGAAAAACGGGGCACTTTAAATATTGATGCATTTTAAAGTTTAATATATTTTGTTCTAGTGAGCCGATTTTGATGATTTTTTAGGAAATTTGTTGCTAAATAGTTTGACTTTTTAGTATCTCCTTCTAAATTAAAAATGAAACTTTCTATCTGTCAATTATACGAGGGAAAACAAAATGTTGATATTTTGGTGAAAGTTTCAAACAGCCTGTGGAATGTAAGGAATTTAAAAATCGTTTTGTCATCTAGGTACGTCTTTTTCCGTTTTTTTTTGTTATTCATCTCAATAGCTTTATTTTTATTGGCGGTATTCGCTTTTGAATAAGACAGTAACGATTTACAGCAATTTTAGCATTGATTTTGGGTCCTCAACAACATACTTATAGTGTATATTGTTTTTGTAATGTCACTATCATTGAAAAGTCATATTATTATTGTTTATTGACGTATACTCTATAGTCTAAGAGCTAGCAACGTTTTCGAGAAAGTATTTTAAGACGTCTGGCTCTTTGATATATCTTTTACTATGCTCTCTGGAACAGCATGCGGCCCGTCTGGCTGCCGGTACCCGTTGCGTTTACTACTGCGCATCGGAAGAAGATCCTATATTTTTTATTAATTCAGTCCTATAAATTCTAGTATTGGATATAAATCAAACATGTCTTTTTTTATTTTATTTTCGTTTATATTCTGATAGTAAAGTATTAAATAATTCTGGTAATTAAAAAAAAAAGAAATATTTAATACTTTACTATCAGAATATAAACGAAAATAAAAATAAAAAAGTCTTTGACCTGACCCGGATTTGAATTCTGAATCTTCGGTTCGTGGTCGGAAACTCTACGCACTGCGCTATGGAGACATGTTCGATTTATATTCAATTCTAGAATTTAAAGGACTAATAAAAATATATATGATAGATAGGATCTTCTTTCAATGCGCAGTAGGGAACGCAACGTTTACCGGCAACCAGACGGGCCGTATGCTGTTCTAGAGAGCATAGTAAAAGATGTATCAAAGACTCAGACGTCTTAAAATACTTGTTTTTCCGACGTTGCTAGCTCTCGTACTTCTAGTAGAGATGGTTCTAAGTTCTAAAGTATCGGCTATTGCTGCTTTAATTGATCATGGTAAAGATCAACTTTTGGACTTAAAACCATATCTGCTAGAGTAACTGCCCAACAGACAATAATAATATGATTTTTCAAAGACAGTGACATTGCATAAATCATAAACACTATTTCGTAGGTCTGCTGACTAGCACCAAACGCAAAGGCATGGGTTTAATATAAAAAATATGAAAAAATGTTAGTTTTGTCTTCAAAAGCGAATATCTTCAAAAGAAATACAGTTATTGAGATGAATCAAAAAACAAACTATCGATAAAATATACACCTAGACGATAAAATAATTGTTACATTTTTTGCTTTGTTTACGTACTCCACAGGGTGTTGCAAATTTTCACAAAAATATTAACATTTTGTATGTATTGAGATTTGAAAAAAAATTCCCTCCTATAATTGACAGCAGAGGCGGATACAGGAATTCATTTTAGAGGGGTCCCAAATAAAAAGTAATTTTGAATATGTTTTTTAGGGCGCCATTTTTAACCCAAAAGCTTGAGATTCTAAGGGGGGATTTAGCCCCATGGACCCCCCTCTGTATCCGCCACCGATTGACAGTTGGGAACTTTCATTTTTAATTTAGAAAAAGATACTAAAAAATCAAATAATTTAGCTACAAATTTCTTAAAAAGTCATAAAAATCGGTCCACTAAAACACAACATATAAAACTTTAAAATACATCAAAATTTCAAGGTGCCCGTTGTCCGTACATCTTTTTAAAATGCGTAGACAAAAATTTGGAAAATATTGAATTTAGTCAACGAATCCAATATTGAAAAAATAATTAGTTTTAATGATATTGATTGCAGCAGACATTCATTTTAATTTAATAATTGTTTTTAGATACTTACGTGATCAACATAGATTGATTTTCATGGTCTGTAAAGATAAAAATAAAAGGATTAATTTTCAAAAAAAAATTAAATTTTCGCTTTAAAGTACTTACTGGTCAACATGTTTACGTAGGCACCGTCAGAAATGGCGAAAATGTGGGGTGGTACTTCATTACGCCTCTTACCACGGTACAATTTGGCACAACGGTTTGTGTATACGGGGAAACGTTTGTAGGGATTGATGGCAACGCAGAAAAGACCGGAATAAGTCTGAAAATATCATGGTTATTTGTCTGTTAGTATATCAAATCAAGACAGAATAATCCAGAGAACATTATCTCTCCAATATCCATTGAATAAAATAATTAAGAAAGGAGTCAAGACAGAAGCGACGCCATTGAAAATATTTTGAAAGCTCGTGCTTTATATGAACCTTTCTTAGTCTTGCTATTCAATGCAAATATTAAATTTTAAGATACTTTTTGCTAACTTTAAATGGTTCTAGATAGCAAAAAATATCTTTGTGTACCCTGTACGTTAATAGTATGGGTGTAACATGAAAAAAATCAAATAAAAACAAGTTCCAAAAATGTCAAGTTATATAGTGGAACTTGTTTATTATTTATAATTATTTAAATAAACTATACAGTACGAATTGCAGGACATAAAAATTATATAAAAATTTGCTGTACTGCCTTTGTTTTGTATATTTTATTTTAATAATTCGTAAATAAAAAGTAGATGGTTTAACATAAAATACAAGTTCTCAGGTAGTACTGTTGCAATACCCATTAATAATATGGGTGCAACAAAAAAAAACACATAAAAAACAAGTACCATGGGTGTAGCTGGTGGTACTTGTACAAAAAAAAATATTTACATATATATTTAAATAATCATACACAATATTAGTTTTTGCACTGAAAATTGATGAAGGTTGTCATTCTAATTCGTATTTTGTGTATGTTATTTAAATAATTGGTAAATACATATAAAATATAAAAAACGACATTAAATAGTATAAATGCCTAAGCCAGTTTAAAACTGATTTGAAGGCTTTAAATATCCAGGATTAATTACAGGAATAGACAAATAATAGGGCCATTTGACTATGGTATTCCATTTTGAAGTATTGGAAAACGAATATTTGTTAGTATACAAGAGGATATACAGAATTGCTCAATATATAAATCATTATGTTATACCTAGAATAAAATTGCTAACAATGAATACCGAAAATATTGGATTATTATCCATGGTAGAGGGTATTTATAATAATATTTGAATGAAAAGGATCTCAGATATGTATCAACATTAGTATTGTACTAATCATTCTTCTTTTTTAAATGAATTTATATATTATTAATTTTGTTTTTTGGTGATAAGCTTTTTTAGTAATACCAAAAAGGTTTTGGAGATTGTAAAGCTATGTGGTCCTTGCACTTAGATTGTTTTATTGTCTAAGAAAATATATAGATACAGGTTATATATTTTTAATTTAATTTTTATATAATAAAATATAAACCTCACTGAGTGCCAATATTTATAACGACAGCCTACTATTCATAAAAATATCCGGTTGCAAAAAAATCACGTTAAAAATTTTGGCGCCCAACGTGGGGTTTGTTTCCACTCGTTAATTTTTTTAAGGTAAGATAATTTTGAATTGATTAAGTTCACCGACAAGTATTTGGACGGACAATCTTGAATGACAAACAAATCTTAGGCTTGGCAAATTTTGGAATTTATGTACTATTGATTTTGTTTTTTGGTGATAAGTTTTTTTAGTAATACCAAAAAGTGTTTGGAAATTGTAAATGTGATTCTTGCACTTCTTGCAAAAAAAATCTGAAGCTACCATTACCATATTTTGTTTTTAAAAGGTATTTGCCTAGATAATGATGGATACATGAGCAATTCTGTACGTAAACCGCAGAATCCCAAACAAGTTCAATGCTCTGTCATTGGTCGGTGTAATGCCGTTGTTACCAAGATGACGTTGCACAGGATCGTGGCACATACTGGCCCACTTCGAACTTACATAGATAAGCTTGGCATAATAACGTTGTTTCAAGTTGTGCAATACGGAAGCATCATTAAGATATGTCAAGTTGGACATATCTTCGGCTTTTTCGTACTTTGGAGGGTTGACTTGAGTCACCTGTTCTTTCTTGAAGTTCTTTTCCTATTTTTCGAATAAAAAGGAAATATTAGTAAGGCGGTAATGGTACTTACGTAGATGAGTTTGGCGTAGTAACGCTGTTTCAAATTGTGTAATACTGCGGCGTCGTTTAGATAGGTCAAGTCGGCCATGTCTTCGACTTTTTCGTATTTGGGAGGGTTCACTTGGTATACTAATTCTTTCTTAAAGGGTTTTTCCTATACTCAAAAACATTAAAACATTTAATGTGACAGTGATGAAAATAATATATCTTCAAATATAAACTATAGTTCTTATTACTTACTTTGACTATGTATTTTTATAAATTAATTTAGATGAAAACAAAATAAAAATTTAATAAGAACCATAATAATGTTTAATAAATTTTCTTCTTACTGAAGTAGTTTTTGTATTTTAGAAAAAAAAGTTCAAATTGTTTCAGAGTTGGGTAATAAATTTTAATAATTTTTATCAAAAACCTAATATATTTTTTCATTTATATTTTTTAAAAATGCAAATGCTAAGAGTCAACTAATCGCAAAAACGAAACACCCAATATTTACTGAGAGAAATAAAATAATAACTATATCATACATATTCTTTAAAGTTTTAGGAAAACTTATATGTGATTTGTTAAAATTCATTTTTAGATTCTATTTTGATTCATTTAGCCATTAAATTTATATATCCATATTTTTATAAATTTCGCTGTTTTAGTTCTATAGATGTAGTATCTAATTTCATAAATTCTAAAAATATTAGTTGCAGTTATTAGTATTATTAAAATACATTATTTTATTTTTTTATTAAATAGATATACTATAACACATTTATATTTTATATTATAGTAAAAGTAAATATTTTTTGAAATAGTAGTAGTAGTCATAGAAATTATAAATAATACATTATATGCTAGTACTACCAGTAAGTACCAGATTTTTAATAAAAGGGAATTGTTTAATAACAAAATAACTTTATGATTATTATGATTTTTTTTTCTGTAATTGTAACTTATATATAGATAGTTGCTTATTATTGTAAATTGTTTATTTTTCTCTGGGTTTATACGGACGAATACCCACAATTTTAAATATAATTTTTTATAATATAATATTATTATAAATATAATTTAATTATAATTAATTTTTTTTTGTCATACTTTTAATAGGCTATAACTTTTTTATTTTTTGAACTAGAAAATTTATTAAAAAAACAAATTATAGGGGTTTTAGTTAAATTTTGTATTGCCAAAACTATTTACACTTTCAAATGACATATTTATTGACGTGAGCTTCTTTTTTTCAACGGGATGATTTACGCATATTGGCATATTTAAGTTATCACTGATATCTGATTATCAGTTATAACTGTTAATTAGATATCATAAGCCATTAAAAAATACATGTGTGAAAAAAATGTGCTACCTAACACGCATCTAATGTATAGGGTATTTCGTTTAAAAAAACACATACTGAATACGTACTAAAACTTGACTAAAAACTCTATAATTTGTTTTCTCATGAATGTTCTACTCAGGGCCGGCGGAAGGGCCGGGCGACCCGGGCGACTGCCCGGGGCGCCGAATGTGAGGGGCGCCACGCCAGCAACTAAAATATTTAAAAAAAAATTGTTTGTGGTATTTTACTTCTAACTGAAAAACTATCAACTTTGTGTAAATAACCCTTCCTTTCTATAATTCTTGTTTTTATAAATGTTCTCCAAACAATAAACTGTTTTGGGTCAAGAGCCAGCAAAATTGACAGTTTTAGATTGACCGCTCAAAATTGCACTTTGTCTACTACCCACACCCTTTATTTGTTAATGGCTGATCTGCCCTAAAATTATATGAAACAAATATTCAATTCGCAAGAAGCTAAATAGGATCCCGACATCATTATAAAAAAAAGCTTGTAAGTTTGCCTCATTAATTTATTAACAGTAGTGGGAAAAATATCAATCTTTTGGTGATTTTGATTGTCCTGGATAGAATATGTAGTTTTACATGGTAAATGGTAACAGAATCGTAGAAATTTCTCATTAAAGCAAGACAAATAAATGCATCTCAAATCTCAAACACTGGCTGATCCTCATTTTGAAGACGACAAAATTGTATCTGATCATACCTATACTGATTCTGCACGAAATAATTGATTGTGAAAAAGGAAAGAAGCTTTTTTTTTAAATTCTTATAGAAAAATAATGCAATTGGTTGCAACTAAATAGTAATGTTTTCAAAGATCACTTATACTTATCATTTATATACCGGGTGCGTCTCAAAACTGGCTCACTCTTATAACTTGTTTATTTTTTCAGATGAAAAAACGAGATTTGGTATGTTAGTATACGACATAAATTAAGATTAATTGACGTATATTCAATTGTTTTTGATCACTTCTTCTTTCACCGGAAATTAGTAAAATTTTTAATTTTTAAATGTGAACCTCGGTATATTTCTACTTTATGCGATAGAAAATGACAATCTGAATAGAATGACATATCATATGTCAACTTTTGACATTTTCGCATAATATGGTTTATTTGAAATTGTAACATACGGTTCATAATGACAATTTGACTCGAAATATCAAGTGTTTGGTACAAAATTATTCGTAAAAAATTCTTTTTCCAAATATGCAAATGAGCCACTTGTTCCATTTGAAAAAGTTGGTATATGATTAAAAATACGATTTGGGCATTTTTTAACCCACCAGGACAAGACACGAGAAACATTAGACGATCAAATCTATTTTACCAAAGCTCCTTGTTTAAAAATTAGTGTTTTTAACACAGCCATGGCACTCTAGACTGAAATTTAAAATACGATTTTTTTGAGCAAAAATGTCAAAAGTTGACATATGATATGTCATTCTACTCAGAGTGTCATTTTCTATCGAATAAACCAGAAATATACCTTCCGTCGGTGCCATTTAAAAATCAATAGTTTTTCGTTGAAACAGAAAGTGATCAAAAACAATTGAATACGTCAATCAATCCTAATTTATGTCATATACTATTTTATCGAAAAAATTAAAAGAGTTATAGGGGTGAGTCACTTTCAAGATGCACCCGGTATAGAAAAAACAATAACCGCGGACTAAGATTGAACGAAGAGAAGAATTTTGAAGTACCTTTAAGTGAAATTTTATTGTTAAAGTAGCATAAATACACTTAGTTGTTATGTTAACATGTTAACTTTTGGGGGGCAGGTAGGGTATTCGCCCGGTCTCAATATTTCCCTTCCGCCGGCCCTGGTTCTACTAGTTCAAAATACAAAAGGTGCAAATCTGTCAAATATACCAAAATACAATGCCAACACTTTACTTATAGTTACTTAAGGTATCACATAGGAACTAATATAAGATTTGCTTTTTATGTTCAACACTGAATAATGCCGTATCTTTGGATTTAATGATAGTAAACACATGTATTGTGTAGATAGATGTTTGAATAGTAAATTGCAATGGCAGCTATCGGTATACTAAACGTACCTCTCCACCGGCGAAAACGGTAACGAGGTCACCCTTGGTGCCCCTGATTTCACCAAGTACGAAACCCTCCTTGTCGTCCGGTACCCAGCATGATTTTTTGGCATCGTAGGGCTTGGTCTGGTCTATACGTTTCTGTTCCAAAGAAACGAAGAGGTATGGGGTGGGATCCTCATCCTCCTGGGCCGCTGGTGGTTTAGGCATCTTGACGGACGGTTACGAAGGGGCTATCGAGACACGTATAAACAGCCCTAGAGCCTTCCTGCAATAGATAATGAACAGTTGTAATACATTTAAAGACTAATAGAATTTTCAGCCGTTCACTTGTAACGGTGTAAGATGCATTGCATAGTGCTTGTCAAATAAAGAAAATCACACAGCGGTCTAGATATTTCTGGATCTAGCCACCTTTAAGGGTGGCTGCAACGACCTCCCGTAATCCCGCTGGTTAAACATGACAGCTGGTTTTTATATATAAAAACCAATTGTTTTGTTTTAACAGTAGGATTACGGGAGGTCGTTGCAGCCACCCTAAGTCCAATCTGACAGATATCTTTATGTGACAAATACTACAATTTAGAATGATGGAGTGGGATTTTGTTTAACTTAAAAGAATTGTTTATTCTATCGCCTGTATCAATCACGCGGGTCATTTGTAACTGAAGCCGCAACATACTGATAAATTGTTATGTAGAAAGCGCATCAAATCTCATTACAGGGTATGCCCTGAAAATTGCAGGAATAAAATATTCGCCTTATACAGGGTGTCCCAGAAATAAGTGCAAGTATTTTAAGAGGTAGTAGATCTCGATAAAAGAAACAGATTTTCTCTTTATCGTTTTTCAAATAAGTCCAAAATAACGGAGTTATTTTACTTTGAAAATTTCCAAAAAAATGATTTTTTGCTAAAATTTTGTGGACCACTGGATCTTTTCTAGATTTTCTTTCTTGTAAATTTAATCTAATTCCTATGTTGCCATATTATCAAGAAATTATGTTTTTTAACTAAAAACTAAAAAAAATTCCAAAAAATTTCGAATTTTCAAAATTTTTTTTTCGCGAAAAAACCCTCATAGGCGTGTTTCTGGGGTTGAACTATACTACCAGTTAAAATACCTGCACTTATTTCTGGGACACTCTGTATAACTGTAACACAACCTATTATTTAGCATATCTAATTTTGTCCAAGCTTAACCAGCTTGTTTTTGAGCATCCGCGTAACAGTAACTGCTGTCAAAGCACTAGCCTCGATGGCTTTTTCTAATGAAGCTTTAATGAACTTCACAGAACACGACTTGTTTACATAATAAAAACGAGCGAATATGTTGTATAGGTAGATATACATATTTTTCTGCAAACGATCGTGAGTCGACGTAGGCCAGGTACGAATAGGTTGTGATACGATTATTAAGTGGGTTTATATCACCCAATAGTGTACTATTAAATTTAATGTTGTTAAGGATTGATTGAATGTTCATACATATGTATCTAGTTACCTAGGGGAAATTTAATAATAAATAAATAAATTAAACAACTTGAAATTAAAATTAGACAAGAAAATGTAAAAAGAATTTCAAATGTTGAAGATACATTCATTCATTGATATCAATATAAATACGTTATAATCGAAAAAAGGCGTCCAGTTGGATTGGAACTGATGATCGATGACATTTCCATATAATTTTACATATAAAATAACAGCGATCATTATTTCATAGCAATCGCTGACGCCGTTTTTTTTTTCGATCATACTGTATAATATATTGCAATTAGATACTATATTTAGAACTATTTTTCAATTGGAACTACATTTTTTATAATATAACTTGAATGTATGCATAACTTTTTTCAATAATAATTAAATATAATATATCAACTGGTTTTGTTTTTTACAATTGTTACCATTAAAATAAGAAACCAAAGTATAAGAAGTTGAATTATTCTAGATAAAAAGACGAAATCTGTAATAGATTGTAGTAGATTGGGGTGAAATAATGCAATAGAAGAGATATTTCAAAATATTTGATGATAATATAAAAATAAAAGTTTACAAAGAATGTTAAAGATTTGAGTTTTAAAGTATTATTAAACCTAATAGAAATAGAGAAAATGAAGTAAACTAAAATTTAAATGCAATTATTGATTAGGAATAGTAACTAGTGATATGAATTTGATATTAAAATTCACAATTTGATTTAAGAATTCAGCAGAGATATGTACTTTATAAGAAGTTCTTTTAATAGTTGAGGTCAAGAGAATTACTTAATGTATTCAAAATACATTGATATATTTCAATGATCAAGACAATTGATTTAAAAAATATTAGCTATAAGTTTATGTGTAATAATTTAATATTTAATTAAAGTATCCAACACAATCGGTTATTTAGTGAAGTAGAATTAGTTTAATAATTATTAATTGAATTATAATTTAGTATAATTTTCACGTCAATATTTTTCAAAGACCGAATTGTTTTATCGAAGCTCTAATAAAATTAAAATAATTTTGTACATTGCAGTATATTTACTAAAACAAATTATCTCATTAAAATTCTAAAAGGATAATTGAGAAATTATTGTTTTTATTTCAAAATTAACTATTGGTTTAAATATCCATTACAGTTGTAATTATTAAGTATAATAGAATCATTCAGATAACTTCAGCGAAAAACTTCAATCAAGTTATTGACTTAAAAAATGATCAAGGATTCAATTTCTATTTGGAAATCAATCCACCCACCCGAATTCCGTCAATCGAAATATTCGTCGAACGCGTCATTTGCCAAATATCTTCGCGGTCACCGTAGGTTACTCAATTCCCACCCTAAAATTAGACAATCGCCGCTTCGAGCCGATTCGAAAATAAAATTCGAAATAGCGCCACTGGCCGAACACCGAAATAGAATCCACGCACAATCGTCATCCATGTAAGGCGCGCCCGTCATCTCAAAAATCCAAAATGGCGTTGAGGCATAACGGATCTTGCCTCCATAACGACTCTTTTGACGTATAAAAAATCATAGATTACTTAGATTTTGATTGTTGACATTATTGCTCAAAATAAATGAACTTTAGAGGTATAAAAGAATGATTTTTGCATTATTGCATGCGCAAGATCGATCAAAATCATACAAAGACCTGTATCCGATAGTGGATTTAGCAAGAAAACTAATAAATGCTGAAGATGATAACGATATTGATAATCTTTAATGCATTGTTACATAAGAATTCAGGAACATAATGGATTCTTTTGAATGGAAGAAGCTGATGACTCTTACGTTGTTGAATGCCATATTCTACAAAAGGCTACATAGCCACAGCTTCTAAAGCGCATGCATAAAGCAATAGACAAAAGTTGTCTCATAGATATGTAATGATGAACTGTTCAGACTAATTATAGAAAGATAAACAAAATGTAAGTAATCTATTGGAAAATGTGATCTTATAGATGAAAAAAGTAATAAGATGGTGTTGGAAAATGCAAATGCATATTGGTTGGTATATAGAGCAGCGGTATGTAAGGTTTGCAATACCGTTTAAATGGCCAATCTTTTCAAAGACATTGTTAAGTAAAGTGAAGATGGTCTAAGAAGATGGAGATATGGTAAAAGTATATAAACGTGGAAACCTTCACTAAAGAAGTTCAAGAATGCAGTAACAAAAATGTTGAATAAATTTGGTCTAGAGTGACTAAAAGTTAACAATAATAGTAAGAAAGAAGTAACTTGGAATGGGTGTCCTCCAACGGTCTAAGACATCCAAGAAAAGTTCCTCAGAGCTTACGACCGAGAGAAATCAAAGGTTTTCCTTGAGTTAAGTAAAAACAATCTTCGGATTGTCACGGGGTTTCTAACAGGACACTGCCTCCTCAATGAACACATCAGCAGGCTGAAACTGAGAAACAACGGCGAATGCAGATTCTGTGGGGAAAATGGTGAAACACCAGAACACCTTATCAGTGAGTGCCCCGAGACGACGACTATTCGTGCCATGAACTCGGATACGGCTGATGTCGAGGATGAAGAGCTGGTCTCTGTTGAGCCGTCTCAGATACTGGCTTTTGTTAAAGCTATAAATCGTTATAACTCAAAAAAGGGGAATACACAATAGATCTGTAAGGTTGCGTTGATTAACTCCCCTCCTAAACATTCTATATTCTACAAGACAGAAGTATAAATGGGATAAATTTTCATATAAATTAAAAACAACGCCTTAACACCTCAAATCTCAATAATTATAAATACATTGGTACCATCAGGAAAATACAATAGGTTTTCTTCTTATTGTTGAAGTTCTGTGATCTTGACAACACATAAGTAAAACAGAAGAAGAGAGTTTGGGTTATGTCTAATCACATCAAAATTTTATAGAAAAAGTGTACAATACTGTAATATTCTGTAATAAAGAAAAGGTTGTAATTCATCTTCCTAATAAATTGAGCAATTCAAAAAATCATTTTTGATAATGGAAAGTGCATGCTAAGTATTGTAAATAAAATAGTTATGTCTAATCATTAATCAGTTAATTTCAGTTTTCATATTGCCCAAGAAATTATGATAAACAATTCCAACCTTGTCCTTGTTGAGTTTTGTACACTTCTTCACCTCACTAACGGAATGTAGTACAGGTTCTTAGAACCTACGTCGCAAATTGACGTGTATGAAAAAGGCGTTCGTTTGTTTCTTGCCCGGTTATTCACGGCAGACCTGATTCGGATGTCTGGAAACTATTTTCGGAATCAATTACGCAACACCCAGGCTCCACATCGCGCTACGTACGCCAACGGCGCGTGGTTAATTGAAAAAAAGCGAAAAATGATATTGTTTGTTGTTTTTTTCGAATTAGAGAATAGTTTGATTAAGAAATTGAGATATTACGTCAGTTAGGAGGCTGAAAAATGACACTGTATTACTTCAAAGTGTCATACTAGCTGTATAGAAATAACATTTTGGTTAGTCAAGCTGTATATTGATAGTAATGGAGTAGAAGATGAACATATAAGGGTTACGATGTTAACTAAGGTGTTTGTTCCACTGTACAATCCAACAACTCGTCCCGTTTAGCTCACAGGAGAATCTCGCCGCGCTAGTATGACACTTCCTTTGATCACTGTATTTTCGAATTATTCGCACTTCGGTCGGGTAATACTAATTCACAATCACAGTCCAACAAAAATCGCGTATTGTTACAGGCGTACAGATCTAGATATTTGATGGTGGTGAGATATTTGTATGTGTGTTAGAAAGAGATAGATAAGACACACGGAGCGGACACACTCAACA